ATTTCTGATGAAGGGTCTAGGCCCGAAACATCAGCCTTCCTGCTCCTATGATGCTGCTTGGCCTGCTGTGTTCATCCAGCTCTACACCTTGTTATCTCATCAACCATCTAACTAGGTGCTACTTTTAAGACCCTAGGATGAAATCCATCAGAATCTGGGCACTTGTCAACTCCCAGTTCCAACAGTTTGCTCAGTTCTGCTTCCCTGGTAATGGTAGTTTTCTTGAATACCTCCCTCTCTTTTAATTCCCGACCTATAGCTATTTCTAGGCTGCTGCTTGTCTCTAGTGAAGATTGAAGCAAAATATCTGTTCAGTTCTTCCACTATCTCTCTATCCTCAATTCCCCAGACACCTTTTCTGTAGGTCCAGCACTTATTTTGTTAACTTGTTTCTTTTTTAAATATCTGAAGATACTTTTCCTATCTGTTTTTGCATTTCTGGCTAACTTTCTCTCAGACTCTAATTTTTCCCTCATTAATTTTTTAAAACAATTCTTGGCTGTTAGTTTTAATTCTGTCCAATCTTGTGACCTTTGCACATTTATGTCTTTATTTTGAGTTTGATACAATCTTTAACTTTATTAGGCAACCATGGATAGCGGCTCTGTGCCTTTGAATTCTTATATGTTGGAATTGCAATGACATGAGATGCATGGGAACGCAAATAGTTTCCCTCCAACTCACACCCCATTCTGACTTAAATTCTGGAGCACCATCCCTAAGAAGTCTTTGTGTGGGCCTACACCATATGGACTGTAGCAGTTGAAACTGGTGGCTCAGCACCAAATATTCAAGGCCAGTTAGAATGGGAAATAAATATTGTCCTTGGTAGTGAAGTGGTTGTTCTGTGAATTTTTTTTTTTTAAATCTGTTACTCTTTTTCTGATCTTCTCAATATAGATAACTTGCTTCAGACATCATTATTTTTGATCTGTTTGCATTTCAGTATTTCAACCTTACACACCAGAACTCCTCAGGGTGTTGAAAGGCCCAACTGACTTCCAGCTAACTGTGGAATGGAATGAAGGTGGCACAAAATATGGTGTAGGTTTAGAACTAATCTTCGAAATCCAGGTCCTCCACACACACAAAATGCAAGTGGTCTGGACGGTAAGTGAAATTATGAAATTATACATGGAGAATTGATGTCAGTTATTGGACTATCATTTGAGAAACTCTGGTGAAAGATTCTTGCAGTCAAGTGTATTGTTCTGGTCTTCACCTGAGAACACCTTAGGTTTTCAGCTCTCTCTCCTCCTGTCACGTAAGACCTGGCTTGTGATAGAGTACGCTTGGTAAATCTAGTCTGTATGCATATTGAAAAAATTTGACCATGTGCAGGTATCCCAGCTGAGCCTGAAGTCTACACGTGTAGGTTTTAGTAGCTGGATCAGAAGATATAGCGGCATGGTGGCTCAGTGGTTAGCACTGCTGCCTCATAGCGCCAGGGACCCGGGTTTGATTCCATCCTTGAGCGACTGTCTGTGTAGAGTTTGCATGTTCTCCCCGTGTCTGCGTGGGGTTTCTCCGGGTGCTCCAGTTTCCTCCCACAGTCCAAAGATGTGCAGGCTAGGTGGATTGGCCGTGTCAAATTGCCCATAGTGTTCAGGGATGTGGAGCTTAGGTGGGCAATAGGGGGATGGGTCGGTGTGGACTTGTTGGACCAAAGGGCCTGTTGCCACACTGTAGGGATTCTATGATCTATGAACTATTCTACCCATTGAGTGGCAGACTGGACTCAATGAGAAAACTACCAGGAGTGAGACTCCTATTCACTTTGTCTTGCTTTTCCTGACTTGGGTGCTGAAGCAACTGAATTAACAAGTTAGCTGACTCGCTGGAACCACTCTGAATCTCAAACAACTTTATATTCAATGAAGTCCTTTTCAAAGTGTTATCAAAGAACAAATAGGACATGTGGCAGCCAATTTCTGCCCAAGACGGTATCCAATAACATCTGACTATAATTTTTAGGTTATGTTCCCTAGTGTGAGATTGCCCGACTCACCAAATGTAGTTTATCTATTTCTACCCTCTCTGATTTTGACTTAATATTATAGAAAGATCCCACCCATATTTTTCTGAAAAAGGATTATTTTTGCAGGGGAATTACAGTAGCGCTCTGGACATTTACCGTGACAAGATCCTGCAGTTCAACTGGACCTCAGATATGCCTCTCCAGTGCACAGCACACTCTGTGAGGATCCGTGCCATTAGCGGTGAGAGTGAAGTCCTGTTTTCTGGTGTCAAAGCTTGGAGTGACTGGAGTCCTGCCTTAACAATTGAAGGTGAGTCCCTTGTTACCTTCCTGAGATATTGAAACAGTATGACTGGATCTCACCCATATATTCAAACAAAAACTTCACTGACGAAGGTAGGTTCACTGAGTGATGTGATGTCAATCTGTATGGTATAAAGCCATGCTGTGCATTCTGGCATATAACTTGCCATTAGCGATATGAACTCATTTAATATACAGTAAATTGTATGACATTTTTCAAGTAACCCTGAGGGTATTGTATCATATTTTAGTTCGCTTTGGTGGTGTCGTCTGAGAGTTTTCATTGAATCATAGAATCACTACAGTGTGGAAGCAGGCCAATCGGCCCATCAAGTCCACACCAATCGCCCAAAGAGTGTATCATCCAGACCCATCCCCCATACGCTATCTCTAACTGTGCATTTCCCGTGGCCAGTCTACCTAGCCTGCACATCTTTTGGGCTTCGGGGGGAAACCAGAGAATATGCAAACTCCGCGCAGACGGTTGCCCGAGACTGGAATTGAACCTGGATCCCTGGCACTGTGAGGCAGCAGTGCTAGCCACTGTGCCACCCAATGTCTAGGCCACTCGCCTGTCAGAGAGTTGCACTCCGTGTAACTTGGACCAATGCAGCAAATTGTTTTGATTGGCCCATAAGTACTATTTTCTGCAATTCAGCGCAAAACTGAGACAAAACAGTAAATTAATTTGAGTGTTTGTCTGCATTGATGACAGGCTACATACACACCTGTAATTCTGGACTTGCAGACTACAAGGCACAAGTCAGGAGTGTGATGGAATACTCCCCACTTGCCTGGATCAGTGCAGCTCCAGCAACACTCTAGAAGCTTGACACCATCCAGAAAAAGCAGCCCACTTAATTGGCACCGCATCCACTCCCTCCACTGCTGAGGCTCAGTAGCAGCTGAGTGTACCATCTATAAGATGCACTGCAGAAATTCACCAAAGCTTCTTAGACGGCACCGTTGAAACCGATAAATTCTTCCATTCTAAGTACGAGGGGAGCAGATGCATAGGAAGGCCATCGCCTGCAAGTTTCCTTCTAAGTAACTTATAATCCTAACTTGGAAATAAATGGCCCTTCCTTAATTGTTGTCAGGTCACACTGCTGGAATTTCCTCTCTACGTGCATTGTGGGTCTACCTACAGCTTATGGTCTTCAGTGGTTTGAGAAGGAAGCTCACCACTACCTTCTCAAGGGCAACTAGGAATGGACAATAAATGCTGGCCCGGCCAGTCATGCCCACATCCCAGGAGTGAATAAAAACAAGACTTCTTTCATCCTTCGTGTATTTTCCAATGTTCCACTTCTCTTGAGGACATGCTTTTCCACACTCCATACCAAGACAATATGTTAGGGAAATGTTTTCTACCCATCTCAAACTGAAGTTATTTTGCTGCATCCAGTCACCTCTCTTCCTGTTTGTCTCCCTTCTCAGCTACCATCTGTACATTCTCCCTCCAGATCTTGTTCCTATTTCCTCACTCTCTGTTCCTCTCATATCAGTCTTCCTTTCATATCACAGCTTCTGTCCTCCTCACTCCTGCAATCTCTGCACCTCAGCCCTTCCCCTCTCCTGCCTGTCCTGTCCTTCTCCTATCATGTATTATCTCCCACTCTCCTGCCAGCCCCTCTCCCACTTTCCCTGACCATGCCAACTTCTCTTTCTCTCCTCCTCCTTCACTTTGTTCTTTCCCCAGCTCCTCCACCCACTTGGGTGTTGGGTATTGGCGAGCTGGAGAGTGGGCAAAAGATGGTGGGGGCAGATGATCTGAGATTAGAATTTATCTACAGTGCTACCATCAAATATTTTTTGAAGAATCGATGAGCTCAACACAGCCCTCAAGGGGTGTGTCTTCAGCTTGTAACTTCTAAAGTGTGTGGGCACATCACTGGGCCTCTCTAGTTCACTGTTGAGCTGTGGTGTGAATGTTTGGTCAAGGTGAGGGTCAGCAGTGAACACCTTCCCTGACAGTAACTTTACTTCTGCATGTGATCTGCTTTCTGCTCACATCAAATTCTTTGCATCTTTGTTACGTAGAACATAGAACGGTACAGGCCCTTCGGCCCACGATGTTGTGTTGACTTATTATCCTACTAAGATCAATCTACCCTGCATACCCTATGTTTTGCTATCCTCCATGTGCCTATCCTGGAGTCGCTTAAATGTCTCTTAAAGTGTCGTCAAGTTAACGTCAAAGCCCTTTCAATCAGTTTATTAGGTGAAAGGTGTCATGTAAGCCAAAGTTGTAATAAGTTCAGATAAAAGCCTGTTGACCTGAAATGTCAACTTTGTTTTTAGCCCTGTAAACGCTGCCAGAATTGAGTGCTTTGAGCGTTTCTGTTTTATTTGTCATAAGTATGTTTATTTTTCTTTTCCAGGGCTAGACACATTTAACCAAACCAAGGGTAAAATCTATCCCGTGGATGGTACTGTTCTAAAAGCAGGATCCAGCTTGACGTTTTGTTGTGTAGCTGGTCAAGGAAAAAGAATTGATAAATTGTATTTTAGTGACTTGAATGCAACAGTTATCGAATTAAGTGACAGGAGCCAGGCCATCAAGGTACAGAATGTCACCCCCTCGATAGAATCTGGAACAAACGTTCTTTGCATTACAAACGTGCTTGAGTACGAAGGAGCAGTCATATATATTGGCTGTAAGTATTGTGGTGAGATGAATGGCAATTAACTTTGGTTGGTCTTGATTTCTGTATTTGTGTGCATGCTGAATGTTGGAAATTGATGGCCGCCTGATTGAGCTGGGTTGCCAGTATACCTTGATGTCCACACACTGCAATGCCAGTGCAGTGCACACCATGCAAAACGATGTACATTCAACAAACTATACAATGCTTGTATACCAAATATGATCATGAATAATGTATGTGGTGTAGATTGGTGGATATGGTTGCCTTTGATCATTGGCGTTGTTTTGATAGATGAGCAACATTTCAAGTGTGGTAAGCTTACTTCACTGGTTAATGGTGCTGAAGGGAGGAAGCCCAATAATTCTTGCAGTGGTCACCTGTTTCATACTTATCTCCTAAATGATTACTGGTAGCTGTTGACCATGTGTAGCAATCATTGTTTGTAGTAGTTGTACATCAAGTGATGATGTGAGTCTTGGAATCAAATTGTCATTGTAGGAGCCAACTGTGGCTGTATCCACAGGCTTTCTGTAAGACGGTAAGATAGAGGAGTGGAATTAGGCCATTTGGCCCATCGGTCTGCTCCACTATTTATCATGGCTGATGTGTTTCTCAACCCCGTTCCCCTGCCATCTTCCCGTAACCCTTGATCCCCTTGCTAATCAAGAGCCTATGTATCTAAAGACCGAATGAGTGCGTTTGAACTTGTGTTTTTAGATCCCCCTGATTTGCCAAGAAATCTCAGCTGTGAAACACGTGACTTACAAACACTAAACTGTACTTTCGAACCAGGGAGGTCAACTTCATTAGTCTCAAAGCGTCGGACTATATATAGTCTCATCAACAGGTAAGCTCCTTTCTGTGTTTATTTCACTTTTCCTTTGTGAATTTGTGTTCATCGAACTGAGTCGGACTGTGTGGCCCTTTATCAAACCAGTCTTCTCAGAATCACAGAATTACTACAGCACAGAAGGAGGCCATGCGGCCCATGTGCCTGCAGTAGCTTTTTGAATAAGCATTTCTCCAGCCTTTTCCCCATAATCTTGCATATGTTCCTTTTCAAGTAACTATGCTCTTTGAAAAGCTTGATTGAGCCTGCTGCCAAAACAGTCTTGGGTTGTGCCTTCCAGATCCTAACTACCTGTTTTGTGAAAAAGCTTTTTCTCTTATCACTTTTTTCAATTACTTTAAACCTGTGCCCTCCTCTTCTTAGATAACAAGGTGTAGAGCTGGATGAACACAGCAGGCCAAGCAGCATCAAAGGAGCAGAAAGCTGACGTTTCGGGCCTAGACCCTCCTTCCCTGTCTGTGTGGAGTTTGCACGTTCTCCCTGTGTCTGTGTGGGTTTCCTCTGGGTGCTCCGGTTTCCTCCCACAGTCCAAGTAGATTGGCCATGCTCAATTGCCCATAGTGTTCAGGGATGTGTAGATTAGGTGGGTTATAGGGGGATGGGTCAGGGTGAGATGCTCTGAGGGTTGGGCTGAATGGCCTGTTTCCACACTGTAGGGATTCTATGATCTATGATAACTTCCTAAAATACATCACCCAGCACTGGGTGCAACACCCTACCAGGGGCTGTACCAGTGTTTGAAACAAGTTCAGCATAACTTTCCTGCTCTTGTTCCATCTTGTGACCTTTGTCTGTGGATGGTAGAGCAGTTCCCATGCACAGTGGCAATCAAGCTGAAACAGCTGCTGTGAAGCTGATTGACAGATGAATGCACACCATTCCGTTTGGATGTGATTTGACTGCTGCTCTCACAGGTGAAAGGTCAGCAATTTCAATCTGTATTCTGTAAACTGTTTGCTTTTCTTTGGTCAACCCTCTTGAGTCTACCCTCCCAAGATTTTCTTTCTTTGGGAGCTAGGGGACTGCATCCAAATATAAGCTTTGAGCCACGAAACCAAAGTGACTAATTCTTTGAGTCGCTCCAGGGCTCTCCCGGTCAGTTTTGTGCATTATGTGAAGGAATGTTTTTCCATTCAGACTAGCTGCTTGCCTCAAGTAGGTGCAAACAATCCCATAACACTGGTTCGTACAAGAGCTGCTGGGGGCTTCTCTGAAAGTCAAGGCTATTGTTTCTCCTCAGGCAGTCATATCTAAAACATTTATTTCCTGTTTGAGGGACCTGCAGTACAGAAATTGGCTGCCTTAAATTCCCATGAGTTAAAAATCAGCAAACATCATCGTTTTATTATACGTGAAATTACTTTAACTTCAATTCCCAGACATACAGTTTGGAAATCATTAGCTGTTAATAGAAGACAGTGTAAAAACCAAGAGCTATGCAACGGTGACCACACACTGTCTCCAATATTTCTCATTCATTAGGTCATCCGAGACCACCTCACCATGTGAAGAAGCTTCAAAGATCCACCCGGATTACTGGTGCAGTTTTCCGATTTCAAATGGCAATGATATATATAATCTTTCAGTACATGGTAAAAATCCATTGGGGGAAGCTCAGTCCCATATAACGGTGGATGTGACCAACGTGTGTAAGTATATCATTTATAATAAAGATTGTCATAAACCTTCTGCGCTGTTGTCTTCGCCTTCAATTTATTCCAGCAGGTGTCTGTTGGAATATTTTAAATTTGCTTCGAGACAAGGCAATTGGCCTCCCATTGTTTGTGTCACTGCCCATTCTTCATGTATTGAACCAGACATAGTCAACAGGCTAGTCACACACATTCATACAAATGCAGCTTATCATATGGAGGGAATAAGGCCTCCCTTGATCTTCATTTCCAACTTCTGTCGCGACATCGATCGCCTCAACATCTCCACTCCTGTCACTCACTCCAACCTCTCCCCCATGGAATGTGCAGCCCTTTGCTCCCTCCGGTCCAACCCGAACCTCCCCATCAAACTCGCAGACAAGGGAGGCACGGTTGTGGTATGGCATGCTGACCTTTACATCGCGAAGGCCAGGTGCCAACTCTCTGAAACCACCTCCTACCACCCCCTCGATCATGACCCCACACCTGACCACCAAACCATATTTCTCAAACCATTTATAACCTCATCACCTCAGGTCACCTCCCACCTTATTGTTCCCCAACCCCACACCGCCTGCTTCTATCTCCTTCCCCAAATCCACAAACCTGACTGCCCTGGTTGACCTATTGTCTCTGCCTGCTCCTGCCCCACTGAACTTATCTCCACTTGCCTTGACTCTGTTTTCTCCCCTCTGATCCAGGAAGTCCCCACCTACGTCCGGGATACCACCCACACCCACCACCTCCTCCAAGACCTCAGCTTCACTATGGACATCCAGTCCCTATACACTTGTATCCCCCACGCGGATGGCCTAAAAGCCCTCCGCTTCTTCCTCTCCCAAGGCCCAACCAGTTCCCATCCACTGACACCCTCATCCACTTAACTGAACTTGTCCTTACCCTTAACAACTTCTTTAACTCCTCCCACTTCGTACAGACTAAGGGGGTGGTCATGGGAACCCGCATGGGCCCAAGCTGTGCCTGCATCTTCATAGGAAAAGTGGAACAATCCCTCTTCCGCTGCTCCAGTGGCACTATCCCCCATCTCTTCCTCCGCTAAATTGGTGACTGTATCGGCACTGCCTCGTGCTCCCACGAGGAGCTTGAACAGTTCATCATCTTTACTAACACCTTCCACCCCAACCTCAAGTTCACCTGGACCATCTCTGATACCTCTGTCTCCTTCCTGGACCCCTCTGTCTTCTCTGGTGACCGCCTCAAAACCGACATCTATTTCAAGCCCACCGACTCCCACAGCTACCTAGTCTACACCTTCTCTCACCACCTTCCTACAAGAATGCAATCCCCTACTCCCAATTCCTCCACGTCTGCTTCCAAGATGGGGCATTCCATCCTGCACATCCCAGATGCCCTCCTATTTCAAGGACCGTAACTTCCCCCCTCCAGTGATAGAAAATGCCCTCAACCACATCTGTTGTGTTTCCTGCACCTCTGTCCTCACATCCCCTCCCCCCAACAAAGACAGAATTCCCCTTGTCCTCACATATCACCCCACTAACCTCCACATCCAACGTATTATTCACTGCTACTTCCTCCACCTACAATCCGACCCCACAACCAAAGATATATTTCCCTCCCCACCCCAATCTGCCTCTTGTAGGGACTGTGCTGTCTGCGACTCCCTCGTTTGCTGCACACTGCCCACTAACCCCACCGCCCCCAGCACCTTTCCCTGCAACCGCAGGTAGTGCTACACCTTCACCTCCCCTCCATCCAAGGCACAAAACATGCCTTCCACATGAGACAGGGGTTCACCTGCACATTGGTCTACTGCATCAACTTCTCCCGATGTGGCCTCCTTTGCATCAGTGAGGCCAAGTGGAGACTTGGAGACTGTTTTGTAGTGCACCCGCGCTCTGTACGCGACAAATGACAACACCTTCCGGTTGCAAACCATTTTAACTCCCCCTTCCAATCCCTGGGTGACATGCCCGTCCTGGGCCGCCTCCAGTGTCATAATGACACCACCTGGAAACTGGAGGAGCGGCGCCTCATATTCCACCTCAGGAGCCTATAGCCCAATGGCCTAAACATGGATTTCACCAACTTTAAAATCGCCTCATCCCATGTCCAATCCTCCCTCTCATCCCCGGCTCCTTGACCTGACACAACCTGTCCATCATCTCTCCCACCTATCTGCCCCTCCCATCCCACTGACCAATCCACATCACTCCCTACATGCGCTCACCTATCACCATCCCACCTACCTTCCCCAGCCCCACACCCCCTACTTATTTATCCGCTCCTTTCCCCCTCCCCATTTCTGAAGAAGGGTCCCGACCCGAAATGTCAACTTTCCTGCTCCTCTGCTGCCTGGCCTACGGTGTTCCTTCAGCTCCACACTGTGTTATCTTTGACTCCAGCATCTGCAGTTCTTGCTATCTCTCTTGATTTTATTACCTGTCCTTTTGACAAACTAGATGATAGAATTTTTACGTATGTGCAACAGTATGACTGAAAACCTAATGCAGCCCAATATTTGGATGTTTAGTGAGCTTTCTGCAAAACACCTGGGGTCCTAAAAGGTTTTCAGTTGAATGCAGGCAGATGTCTAGCACCTTTCTGTTTGGCCTGATTAGTGCCACTAGCACAATGTCATGCAAACGTGATTTTTCAGGCATCCACAGTTCTTTTGGTTTTTTAAGTGCCACCGGCTTTATATTTGCCAATAGGTTTGCGTACGAATCTTTGCGGTTGAGTTGATGACTTTTAATCTTTCTTCCAGTTCACCCTTATGCCCCTCACCAGCTGAGGGAAGAAGCCAAAATATTAACAAGTCTCAACGTATCCTGGTCAGATCAAGTAGATTATACCGGGATCACACTGCTTTGTGAGATGGAAATAAGAGATCATTTGGGGAGCAACATGACAGTAAGTAATTACATCAAAAACATTAACTTTTCTAATCTCATTTCTTTTTATTTCTGCTAAAGCCACTAACTTATCTGAGACCAACTTGTTGACCTGTAAATAGCACTGCCCAGATTTAACTCATTCAACCTCAGGATGGGATGAGTCCTCAATCTTTATTTTTATTTTTTTCATTTTATTTCTCTATTTGGTGGGGTTAAAGGATCTTTCTTAGGAGGGTAGCTGGTGACAAGAGGTCAGTGTTGGGACCACAACTTTTCACTTTATACATTAATGATCTAGATGAAGGAACTGTGGGCATTCTGGCTAAGTTTGCAGACGATACAAAGATAGGTAGAGGGACAGGTAGTATTGAGGATGCGGGGAGGCTGCAGAAGGATTTGGACAGGTTAAGAGAATGGGCAAAGAAGTGGCAGATGGAGTACAACGTCGGAAAGTGTGAGGTTATGTACTTTGGTAAGAAGAATAGAAGCATGGACTATTTTCTCAATGGGGAGAAAATTCAGAAGTCTTAAGTGCAAAGAGACTTGGGAGTTCTAGTTCAGGATTCTGTCAAGGTAAACTTGCAGGCTGAGTTAGTAGTTAGGAAGATAAATGCAACTTTGGCATTTATTTTGAGAGGACTTGAATATAAGAGCAGGGATGTACTTCTGAGGCTTTATAAGGCTCTGGTCAGGCCACATTTGGAGTATTGTGCACAGTTTTGGGCCCCATATCTCAGGAAAGATGTACTGGCCCTGGAGTGGGTTCAGAGGAGGTTCACGAGAATGGTCCCAGGAATGGAGAGTTTAACATATGAGGAACATTTGAGGACTCTGGGTCTATACTTAATGGCGTTTAGAAGGCCGAAGGGGGGGATCTAATTGAAAGTTATAGAATACAGAATGGCCTGGACAGAGTGGATGTTGGGAAGATGTTTCCATTGGTAGGAGAGACTAGGACCCAAGGGCACAGCCTTAGGGTAAAGGGAAGACCTTTTACAACAAAGATAAGGGGAAACTTCTTTAGCCAGAGCGTGGTGAATCTATGGAATTCACTGCCACAGAAGGCTGTGGAGGCCAGGTCATTGAGTATATTTAAGACAGAGATAGATTCTTGATTAGGGTTACGGGGAGAAAGCAGGAGAATGGGTTGAGAAACTTAGCTATGATTGAATGGTGGAGAAGACTTGATGGGCTGAATGGTCTAATTTATGCTCCTATGTCTTATGGTCTTGTCACTTTTTATAAGGGGGGAGGTGATGGCCTCGTGGTATTGTCGCTGGACTTTTAATCCAGAGATTTAGATAACGTTCTGGGGACCTAGGTTCGAATTCTGCCACGACAGATGGTGGAATTGGAATTCAATAGAATATGTGGAGTTAAGAATCTAATGATGACCATGAATTTGTTATCGATTGTCAGAAAAACACATCTGGTTCACTAATGTCCTTTAGGGAAGAAAGCTGCCATCCTCACCTGATCTGGTCTATATGTGACTCCAGACCCAACATGGTTGACTCTGAAATGCTCTCTGGGCAATGAGGGATGGGCAATAAATGGTGCCTAGCCAGTGATGTCCTCATCCTGTGAATGATTTTTAAAAAAAAAAAAAATTCCTCTATTTTCTAATTTAGTCCTACAATCTGCAATGCTGCACTTTTTATTTCTTTATTTTCCAGTTTTGTTTCCCCAAGAACTTGTAACTGAAGAATCTATACCTTTGTACCTAAGATGGTGACGTAAGAGGCGATTTGTAAATTTTTCACTGTACTCATCTGATTGCATGTGACAATAAAGCTAATTCAATTCAGTTCAATTCATTACAATAGTGACCAAATGATGATGTGATGCAAACCTGATTTTCCCAGTTGAGGAGCTCATAAATTGTGCAGGATGGTATTTCCAACTCTGGAGGGTTTTGAGGATGTCTTTTTGAATGTAAGGAGTGAAGTGACAAAGGATGGTAGTATTGACGTAGCTAAAGGAATATTTACCAATTGTAGAACAATGTCACAATTTCCTTGTATTTATATGGTATTTATTGATATGTAGACCAATTAGCTTAACGTCAATGGCAGGAAATAGGATCTTCAATCTTTCATCAAAAAGATGTAATGGATAAACATGCAGAAGTTTGAAATAAACCATATCGTCGTCTACTGCAAATATTTTGACCTGTTTTGCACTGTACTCATGACCAGCCCATTGGTGTATACCAGTGTATATGTTCCCTTTAGCGACCTTCCATCCTCCTTTATTTAACCCCACCACTGTTTCATTCTATTTCGTTTGCAACTTTAGCATCACGTTTGATCCTAAGAGGAGCTTCTAACCTCATACTTACACCATAACTGAAACTGTCCATTTCTGCCTTTGTCTCAGTGCCTGATTTTACTCCAACTGAGCTCACCTGCTGCTTGAAACCTTTATTTGTTCTTTCATTATCTCTAGACTTGGCTATTTGAATGCACTTCTGGCAGTATTCTACTCTCTGTAAACTCTAAGTCATCCAAAAGCTCTAATTCCCATGGGTTACCTTGGACTTTCTGTTCCATATCACCCCTACAATCGCTGATCTTGGCTACTGGTCAAGTAACATCTTGACTTTCACTGTTGTTTTCCAATACCCCCATGGACTCAGCTTCCTGTCACTCTATAAGCTCCCCCTGCGCCCACAACCCTCTAGGCTCCTCCTAAACCTGGCTCTAATTTCACTGGTGCCAGCATTGCTGACTACACACAGAGTCATAGTCATACAACATGGAAATCCGACTTTTTGGTCTAACCAATCCACACTGACCATGTTCCCAAACTAAACTAGTCCCACCTTCGGTTTTCTATGCCCAAGCTCTGGGCTTGACTTCCTATCTTTCTGTCTACTTCGCTTTCTTCTTTTAAAACTCTTCATAAAGAAAATCTGCCTTTTTGAGTAAACTGTTGGTCATGACTTAATATCTCCTTGTGGTTCAATATCATACTTTTCTTTATAATGTTTTATTACATTAAAGGCAGTATTTTAATATAAGTTGTTTGTCTAACTTTTAACTTGCTCTTAAATACATATTTGCTACTCAACTACGCTTCTGGTAGTGAGTTTCACATTGTAGCCTCCCTAGGTGAAGAAATGTCTCTTACCTTGTCTAGTTATAGCCCCTAGACCTTGCCTGCAAATGGTATTATCTTCCTATGGCTTTCGTAATCATAAAAACATCTATTAGGTTACCCTGTAGGCTCCCCCTGAGAGAAGGACCTCTGTTGTTCAGTATTTTGTTTAGTCTGTCAGTTCTGGTACATCTATTTTTCTACTTTTTTTAGCAACTCTTTATTCATTTATTCATTCACGCGTTGAGGGCATTGCTGGCTAGGCAGCATTTATTGCCCAGGGGGCAGTTAAGAGTCAAACGTGTTGCTTAGGGTCTGGAATCCCATGTAGGCCAGACCAGGTAAGGATAGCAGAGTCCTTCACTAAAGGACATCAGTGAACCAGATGGGTTTTTCCTGACAATCAACAATGGATTCGCAGTCATCATTAGATTCTTGATTCCAGATATTTATTGAATTCAAATTCCACCATCTGCCATTGGTGGGATTCGAATCTGGGTCCCCAGAACGTTGTCTGGGTCTTTGGATTACCAGTCCAGCCATAATACCACTAGGCCATCACCTCCCAAAACTCTGGATTCTTCTTACAGTACGGAGACCTGACGTGTCAACTTGGGAATCTGTGGAATTCAGGCCTAAGACTTGCAAGTGGTGTTAACCACGTAAATATTGGTTTCTCCCCCCCAGAGGAGTTTCCCCTTATTGCACAATTTGTCTCCCAGTTATAGTGACAGGAGTAGGTCATTCAAACCTACCCAACCATTCCGTATTCAACTATTTGTGCCTGATCGAACTCTTCAATGGCTTTATTCACTCCATTTCTATAAACCTTTGTCATGGTAATCAGAAATCTATCAATCTCTATCTTAAACATATGGAAATACTTCTACAGCCCTCTGTGGTGGAGAATTCCAAAGATTCACAACCCTCAGGAAGCAGAAATTCTCCTCATCGTTGACCTGAATGGTATTCCCTTATTTTAAAGTTGTGTCCCCTGCTTCTGGATTCTCCAGCCAGGGGAAACATTTTTAACTGCATTATCATGTCTATCCCATTCAGCATTTTGTAAGTTTCAATGAGATCACCTCTCATTCTTTGAAACTCTAGAGATTACAGACCCGATTTTCCCGACCTATCTTGTTATTGATGAGTAATTGATGCAGTGTCTAATCTATAAACATTTTTGTATTGCAGTATAACTACTCTGTGATTGGAGGACCTAAGGATGCAAGACACATAGTAACATTAGACAATTTGAGACCTAATACAAGATATTCCATTCAGGCTCGTTATTCTGCTCAGCATTTTTGGAAGTGGAGTAAATGGAGCAATTTGATAAATGTTGTAACTGAACAAGCTGGTGAGTAACCAAGAGGAGCGTAATCTAGGTCAAAGACTGTGTTATGCAAGACTAGCTACTCTCCACATGGAGAAAAGTTAATGTTGTGGATGCAGCACTTTGCTGCAGATAACAAGGATTAGAAGCAAACTTCATAAACTTGATTGTATGTAGAGTGAAACTCCCATTACACTATCTCCATCATCATATCCTCAGGACAGGAATGGCATGGATTAAATAGAGTAAAGCTCACTCTGCGCTGTCCCATAATACACTCCCAGGATGGGTGCAGCACAGGGATAGGTACAGAGTAAAGCTCACTTTATGCTGTCTCCTTCAGACACCCCCAGGACAGGTGCAACACTGGATTCAGATATTGAGTAAAATGTCCTCTATACTCTCCCCATCAAACATATCCAGGTAGGTACAGCGCAGGGTTAGATATAGAATAGATTTCTCTCTACACTGTTCCATTAAAACACTCCTAAGGGTGGCAAAAGAACTGACCAAGTGTATGTGATTAGGAATATCATGTGTTAAGAAGCAGTGATATGTTCACAGTTGAAATTATTGTAATAAAATGCAAGGGAAATTCTCGAAGTTTGTATCACCACAGATGAAATGTCTGATTTTGCACATTAAACGCAAATGTAGCGGTTTTATAGCACTCTGCCCATACTGCTTTCTGTTTTATCTGTGTTGGTGGTGGTACTGCGTAGCTTGAAGTTTGTGTTTTTGCCCGTGAACTTATGCTAAAGATCCAATCTGGGTTAAACTAAGCAACAATTTGGCAAGAGTACATTCTTGATTCCATAAACTACATTTGGGGTACCATGCAGTAACAAGATAATTCCATATTAGAAAGTTGACAGATGATGTATGTCAAATGTTTTTCCCTCTTATGCCCGTTTGTCTCTCAAATTCTTCTAATTACAGCTCCATCAACCAGCCTGAATGTCTGGAGAAAGATTATGCCAAACAGGACTGTGACTATTTACTGGAAGGTAAGGACTACAAATGATAACATTGAGACATGAGGTGAAAGTCCAGGCAAAAATTCGAAATTTTAGAAAGGAGGCTAAGGCCTGGAGGAGGTCGCAGAGTACTAGGGATAAGTTGTTTCAGTTCTATGGAAAAACTGGAGCATCTGGAATTGATTGCCTAGCAAATGGCAACAGCAGGTCAGGCAGTATCTGTGGAGAGATTTTTCAGTTGCTGACCTTTCATTGGAATCAATACTGAAGGTCATTGACCTGAAATGTTAACTCTGTTTCTCTCCTCAGATGCTGTATTTACCACACAAAACGTTCATTTGATACATCAAGTCCATGTCGACTTTCCAGTGAGCATTCTAATCCTTCCCTCACTGAATCCCTGTCTCCCTGCAAGTAAGATTCATTCAAATTGGCAACAAATTTCTTCTGAAATAATTGATCCACTCTGCTCTCAGCATCATTGTGGATAGCGAGCTCCTGGTCATTGCCACTTGCTGCATGAGAAAAGGTTCAATCTTATAGTCTCAAGAGGGTCAACCTGTGGGATTCCTTCCATAGAAGGCTGTGGGGGCTGGGTCACTGATTATATTCAAAAAAAGAGATTGATAGATTTTTAGATTTTAAAGGCATTAAGGGGTATATAGAGATAAAGTGGCAATATGATGTTGAGGTAGAGGATCAGCCATGATCATTTGAATGGCAGCGTGAGCTCAAAAGCCAAATGGCCTATTTCGGCTCCTGATTTCTACCTTTCTACGTGTCCTTGTGTCTGTTGCCCAAAATCTTAAATCTGTGTCCCAAACCAATAGGAAGAGATTCTCTTTGTCTATCTCATGACAACACGCCATAAAGTTGTACACCCCTACCAGATTTCCTCTCGAACCCCTTTCCTTCAATGAAAATAAACCCCTATCTAAATTTGTAACTAAAATCATTCCCATCCCTGAAACCATTCTGGTAAATCTCCTGTACACCCTCTTAAGGACTTTCACATCTTTCCTAAAGTGTGTTGATCAGAACTGGATACAGTGCTCTAGTTGTGACCAAATCAGAGCTTTCTAAAATTTCAGCATTGCTTCCCTGCTTTTATACTCGGTGTCTTCATTTATGATGAGCTAGGTCTCATACACTTTGCTAACCACTCCTGCCATGTCCTGCCACCTACAAAAATGACATGTATAACCAGGTCTCTTTGTTCCTGAAGAGATGATAAGTACTGCAGATGCTGGAATCAGAGATAACACAGTGTAGAACTGGAGGAACACAGCAGGCCAGACAGTATCAGAGGAGCAGTGGCCTAAACGTGGATTTTACCAGTTTCAAAATCTCCCCACCCCTAGCCTCATCCCATGTCCATCCCTCCCTCTCATCTCTGCCTCCTTGACCTGACACCGGTCCAACTTCTCTCCCACCTATCAGCTCCTCCCACCTCACTGACCAATCCCTACCACTTCCTACCTGCACTCACCTATCACCATCCCACCTACCTTTCCCAGCCCCACCCCTCCTCTCTCTATCTGTTTCTGAGCTCCCTTCCCCCTTCCCATTTCTGAAGAAGGGTCCTGACCTGAAATATCAACATTCCTGCTCCTCTGATGCTGCCTGGCCTGCTGTGTTCCTCCAGCTCCACACTGTATTATCCCTTTGTTCCAGTGCACCCTTTACAACTGCACCACTAAGTCTCTAATGCCTGTTCTATTCTGTCCACCAATATCCGTCACTTCAAGTTTCAGTATGTTTTTAAATGATTTTTCGGTATGTTTTCCACCTGCCACTTGTCTTCCTATCTTGCTAGCCTATCTACGACCTGTTGCAGTTCATTCACATCATCCTCATTGCCACCACTCCTCCAAGTCTGGAATGACTGGTAAGTTTTGAAATTTTACACTGTATTCCAAGACCCTAGTCATTTGTATCCAGCCATGAGAGCAGTGGCCTCAGCACTGACCTTTGGGGAACATCACCCTCTAGTCCAAGAAACACCCACCTATCATGACTTGTTGCTTTCTGTCCTTAAACTCAGAATTTACAGTCAGTAACAGTGAAGGAACAGTTTAAAGTCAGAATGGCATGTAACTACGAGGGGAATGTGGTGGTGATCTCATGCACTTGCTGTCCTTGTCATTCTAGGTGGTAGAATGGTTTTTATTTCATATTTTCAGGATTTCAGTGTTTTGCAGTCATATTTTGGTTAAATGAGGTTAATAGAGTTGCTAAAAGGATAAAGAATTTTGGGAGAGTAGATTGGGTGAAACTGTTCCACTCGCAGGAATGTCAAAAACCACAGGAGACAGATTAAGATAATTGTTAAAAGAACAAGTGGGAGTTGAAGTGAACCGATTTAGTTTTCATGCAGTGCTGTTATGATCAGGAATGCATTGCCTGTAAGGAGATTGGAAACAGTAGTAACTGTATGATGAGAATTGTGCGCTTACTTAGAGAAGAAAAGGTTTTCATAGCCATGGGGAAAGAAAGGGTGAGTGGAAATGATAGCTGTCTCTTGCAAAGAGGTGGTAACTGCACAGTGGGTCAAATGCCTTATATTTGTATTGTATTGTTCTAGCATTTTCTGCTGTATGTAATTCAGAGATTCTAGGCTTGAGATTGCAGATGAAAATGGAGCCTGTGGAATGCTCCCTACCCTCGCATTGTTTTGGTGAATTGTTTGTGTCAGGAATACTGATCTTAGCATAATCAAGATGTAGGGATGGCACAGTGTGTGTTTTCAGATTTACATATGCAGTTAGGAAGAATAAAAGCTGAGGGATAGAAACATAGAAAGTGGATACAGGAGTAGGTAAAATGCTCCATGATTCAACATGATCATCCTGATCCTCTATCTCAATGCCATATTCTGACTCTGTCTCCAATTCCGTCCATATATTTAGCCAACAGAAATCTTATTTATTCAGTGTCTTAGCCTCCTGTAGTAGAGAATTCTAGAGGTTCACCATGCTCTGAGTGAAGAAACTTATCACCTCAGTCCAAAATGCCCTACCCTGTACCTGGAGGCCATCACCCCTTGTCCTGGATCCATTGGCTAGGGGAAACATGACCTTCATCCAGTCTGTCCAAACTTTACACTTTGCAAAGAGATCCCCTTTCATTCTTCCAAACGCCAATAAATACAGACCCAATCTCTCCCCATACGACAAACATACATTCCAGGAATCAATGTTGTGAATCTTCATTGTGCTGTGTGCATGGCAGTATATTTTTCCCATTGAGCACGGTGCTGCTGTTGGAACAGGAACAAAGAAGCAATTGACTGAGAGAAAAGTTGTATATGAAACTGAGGAATTGCCTGTCAGCTAAACAGAACACCCCCTGTCCAGGAACCAAAACAATTTGACTAATAGTAAACAGCTTCAGTCTCCCTCTTTCTTTTAGCCACTTTCAGATGCTGAGGCAAACGGTCACATTTTATCCTACAATGTAACTTGGATGAAGATAGGAAGCAATTCGTCAACCACAGTTGAGAGGTCAACGTCGAGCGTAGCGATAGATCTCGATGAAGCTGCCTATGTAATTACAGTTATAGCACGAAATAGTGCCGGGACATCACCACCTTCTGTGATTAGGATCCCTCCACACACTAACGGTGGGTACTAAGCAGTTACTCCTAGTTACTTTGTCCGATAGTTCTAATTTTGCACTGTCAGTAAGATCCCTCAGCACTTCTAATAAAATGATCTATCTGCTTCCGACTTCTGAAACCTAATAAGAGTGGTTGGATCTTTTCTTTAAGTGACCTATGCATTCACTCAGTCAAGTAAGACCCACCACTACTATCTTCTCAGGTAACTAAGAATAAGCAATAAATACAGACCTTGTCAATGAGTTCCACTGAATATGAATAAGATAAAAGCTTTGTGACTACTAGTTTTATTTTGTAAAACAAAAATCAAGGAACTGTGGACGTTGGCAATTAGAAACAAAATCAGAAATTGCTTGAAAAATCTAGCAGCACTTGTGGAGAGAAAGCAGAGTTAACATTTTGGGTCGAATGACCCTTCTTCAGAACACAGAATTTTGTTTTCTGGGCAGAGGCTGAAGACACTGTATGTTTAGCTTCAAGCTGTAGGTTGCAGTTTTAGTCATTGAGCATTTATTTCGGTCTTGCCTTTTTGGGTAATTCCTGACCTGTTAAACAGAAGGAAACTGGCCAAATCACTGTTTCTGATGACTGTGCATTAACCTTGCAGTTGTTGACTTGCTTGCCAAGCTGGCTTGTTTTTGACCATTAAAGACGAAGTGTGTGGTGAGGCAGAGGTCTAGTAACTTAAGTATGTCCTTGCTGATGGAGCTGCTGGTCTGCGTTGCTGTTTCCTCACCCCATTCTATCCACTCAACCCAAGAATTCCTCAATACCCTCAAGAACATAAAAATCAGTGACAACGAGATTATGGTATCCTTTGACATCACAGCTTTATTCACATCGATCGTCATCCCACTAGTCAAAGAAACATTGGCCACATTACGAGAGGAAACAGCAACGCAGACTAGCGTCTCCATCAGCAAGGATACCTACTTAAATTATCAGACCTCTACCTCACCTCACACTTCGTCTTTAATGGTCAAATATACAAACAGTTCAACGGTACACCAATGGGGTCACCCACCTCGGGACTCATCGCAGAAGCAGTCATGCAAAGCCTAGAACACACCACCCGCCCCCGCTTTCAACCCGAAGTGTGGATCCGGTACGTAGACGACACATTTGTCAGTATTAAATGCAACAAATTAGAAGAGACCCACCACCTCATTAACAGCATATTCGCATGGATTAAATTCACAAGGGAAGAAGAAAACAACAATCAACTTCTGTTTCTGGATGTTAAAGTAGAGTGATTGACAAACAGAGTTGCAAACCTCAGTATACAGAAAAGCAACCCGTATGGATCAAATCCTCAACTTCCACAGTAACCACCCCAATGTCCACAAACCAAGCTGCATTAGGACACTATTTAAATGGGCCAGGACACACTGCAACCCTCTGGAACTACACAGGGAAGGGGAAGAACGCTTATACAAAATGTTGAGGTTGGTTGGCTTGCCGAGCTGGTTTCTTGTTTCACAGACGTTTCGTTACCATGCTTGATAACATCCTCAGTGCAGCCTCCGATGAAGCGTCGGTGTGTTTTCCTGCCTGGTTTTTAAACTCTGGGGTCTGTTGAGATGGATTGCCTCACTTCCGGTTTACCTTCATAGTGGAATGTATATGGGGTCGAGTTCAATGTGTTTATTAATAGCATGCTTCGTGGAGTGCCATGCTTCCAGGAATTCTCGTGCCTGTCTCTGCCTAGCCTGTCCCAGGATCTTGGTGGTGTTGTCCCAGTCGAAGTGGTCGTTCTCCTTGTCCATGTGGATTGAGATGAGTGAGTATTGGTGGTGTCTTTTTGTAACCAGTTGGTGTTCATGTACTCTTGTTGTTAGTTTCCTTCCTGATTGTCCGATGCAGTGTTTCTCACAGTCTCTGCAGGGGATCTTACAGATGACATTGGTCCTGTTCATGGCGGGGAGTGGGTCTTTAGTTCGGGTGAGCAGTTGTCGTAGGGTTGACGTGGGCTTGTGTGCCACCCTGTGATGCCCAGTGGTCGTAGGAGTCTTGTGGTGAGTTTCGACATGTTCCTGATGTAGGGTAGTGTGATGAGCATGTAGTATCTTTCTGATGCTGTTCGTGTAGGCATCTTCTGACCCAGTTCTTTGGATATCCATTATCCTTGAACACTTGGAAGAGGTATTCTTCTTCCTCTTGGCATAGTTCTGTGTTGCTGTAGTGTGTTGTTGCCCTTTGATGATTGTTGATTGTTTGTTGATGCCCTACGACCGCTGGGCATCAGAGTGGCACACAAGCCCACATCAACCCTATGACAACTGCTCACTACCAACTAAAGACCCACTCCCCGCCATGAACAGGACCAATGTCATCTACAAGATCCCCTGCAGAGACTGCGAGAAACACTACATCGGACAAACAGGAAGGAAACTAACAAGAGTACATGAACACCGACTGGCTACAAAAAGACACGACCAATACTCGCTCATCTCAATCCACATGGACAAGGAGAACCACCAATTCAACTGGGACAACACCAAGATCCTGGGACCGGCTAGGCAGAGACAAGCACGAGAATTCCTGGAAGCATGCCACTCCACGAAGCATGCTATTAATAAACACATTGAACTCGACGCCATATACATTCCACTACAAAGTGAGGCAATCCATCTCAACGGACCCCAGAGTTTAAAAACCAGGCGGGAGAAAACACCGACGCTTCATCGGAGGCTGCACTGAGGATGTTACCAAGCATGGTAGCGAAATGTCTGCGAAACAAGAAACCAGCTTGGTGAGCCAACCAACCTCAACACCCACAACCCGAGCTACAAATCTACTCCAAAACCTTAGCGCTTATACAAAATCCTCACTTTAAACGGTTATCCGCGCAACGTCATCCACAGATGCCTACAAAACAGACAACAACAGGAGGACACAGTACAACCTAACACACTGCCCACACTGCCCTACATCAAGAACATATCAGATCTGATAAGACTCCTAAGACCACTAGGAATCACGGTGGCCACAAGCCCACAGCCGCTCTATGACAAACACTTACAAGGATTAAAGACTCCATTTCCACAACATGCAGAATGAATGTGGTTTACAAAATTCCATGCAATGACTGCCACAAACATTACAGCAGACAGACAGGAAGGAAACTAGCCATCAGAACACATGAACATCAGCTAGCAGCAAAACAGCACAATGAACTCTCCTTAATATTGGTACATTCAGACAGTGAAGGCCATCAGTTTAACTGGGGCAAAGTAACTATAGTAGCCAAACATAGACACGCAAGGGAATTCTAGAGGCATGGTTCTCCACCCATACTTCAATCAACAAACATATAGAATTGGACCCCATATACAAACCCATACAGATCAAAACCGGAAATAACAGTACTCACCATAACGGACCGGACAGTATAAATTCCAAGCGAAGTAGAATAACATGGCTTCATTGGAGGCTCTGCTGATGATGTCACCTAGCACGGTGATGAAACGTCTGAACAAAAGCAAGCCAGCTCGGCGAGCAAGTCAAGAACCTCATCCACAACCCGAGCTACAAATCTTTGCCAAAACCTTATGCATTAATCTTGCAGGTCAATGTCTCAGACTTGATAGTACTTCCTAAAGCAGTTACTTTTCAGAAGTGCTCCATTGGTTATGAAAAATGCTTTATAAGTTTTTCTTTTTAATCTTACATTGGCATGTGCAATGAATTCCACAACATGGATCAGAACCATACTGCCTCACAAAATCTTTCTCTAAATTTCTTCTTTCTTTCTAGATGAACCCGTAGGCTACGTCAAAACCAGTGGTACTGGGGACGGATTTAATGTGACTTGGCTGAGGCAGGAAGTTGAGAACTGTGGATACACTGTAGAGTGGTGTCAAAACTTGAGTAACTCTACGTGTAATGTAGACTGGCAGAAATTTCCTTCAAACGTTACAGGTGCCATAATAAAATCAGGTGAAGTATTTGTCATCAAAAACTGTTTTGCTTCAGACTCCTTGGCATTCCTGCTCTTTTCTTGGATTGTTTTGTGCTTTGGATCTCTCTTCTGCTTTATGTAGGCCTGCACCTTCTGACTGTTTATCTGTCTGTATCCCCAGGCTTGTGTCTTCTCCCACTGTACTACTTTGCTTTACTATTTAATCTTTCTGACCTCGCAACATTACATTTATGTTTCAGGGAGGCCGTTCTACCCCTCCAGAAATTTCTAGAATAGAGACACATGCTTACAGACCCTATTATGATTTCACTCCACAATCCCAACTTTGTTATAATCCCAGATCGGATCTCCGCATTATATTGCAATCTAGTTAGGGATTAATTTTCAAATTAGACATTGGGTGTGATCCAGAAGACTTAGTAAGAGAATAAATCCATAAGATTTTGAACAAGTAACAAGAATTTACAAGACAAGCTATCACAATAGTACAGTCTACACAATACACACAACTTGTTTCTAAGGCTCAGAGTTTTTCTAAATGTGAGTATTGTACTCTCATCGAGTACCCCATAGTGCACATCGATTAGCAACTACAATCTAGATAGATCCAATGGATTTATTAGTAATTCCTCCCTAATATCAATGACACCAAGGGTCATCAAAATTCATTTAAAAGTTAAAATTCTTTTCTTCTGCTGACCTGACCCTTCAGCACCCCCTTGGAGCTTTTCTGTCACAGACTGCCATAATGACTGGTCCTGTCACAGTCAATCACGCTACTTAAGCCACAAGCTAAAAGACTGGTGTAGAAGGAATGGATTTCAGTTTTTGAACACTGTCACCAGACTAAATTAGAGAGGAACTGTTCCAGTAGGACAGACTTCATTTGAAGAGTGCTGGGTCCACGTCCTGACAAATTGATTAACTAGGGTTGTAGAGAAGGCTTTAAAGTCATTAGATCGTTGGACTGTTTAGGAGGGTTAGATATATAGGCTTACACAGCAAAAGAATATGTTGCCATTGCAGGGCAACTGCTTAGATAATGACACCCAGAGTGGGACAGGAAGGACCAGAGAGTACAAGAATTCAAGTAAAAAAACAGCAACTAGAGTCAGGGTGGATTTGCTGTTTACTTGAAATAAATGAATTAATAATGCAAATCCAGGTAAATGGATATGATCTTGTATCCATTACGGAGACATGGTTACAAGGACATCAAAGCTGGGAACTGAACATTCAGAAGGATATGGCTTTTTGAAAAGGACAGGCAGGAAGGGAAGAATGGTAGATAGTTTTGATAGTGTGAGTTAGATGTTGGCATGAAATGATCTTGAATTGGATAATGTGGAATCCATATGGGTTGAAGTAAGAAATACCAAGGTGAAGAAGGCACTGTTAGGTGTAGTCCATAGCTCCCCCTTGACAGTTTCTGTTCTGTAGGCAGGGAATAAAGCAGGAGATAATGAGGACATGTAAAAAAGGCATTATACTAATCATGGGTGACTTGAATCTTCATGTAGATTGGGAATACTAAATTGGTACAAATAGTCTTCATAAAATGTATTTGGGTTAGTTTCCTTTTTGATCTGGTGATGTGTATTGAGCCAGGCTGAACCGATATTCATTTCAAGCCCACCGACTCCCACAGCTACCTAGAATACTCCTCCTCCCACCCACCTTCCTGCAAAAATGCTATCCCCTATCCCCTATTCCCAATTCCTTCGCCTCCGCCGCATCTGCTCCCAGGATGAGGCATTCCACTCCCGTACATCTCAGTTGTCCTCGTTTTTCAAGGACCGTAACTTCCCCTCCTCGGTGGTCGAGAACGCCCTCAACCGTGTCTCCCACATCTCCCGCACCTCATCCCTCACACCCCGTCCACGCAATAAAAACCAAAAAAGAATCCCCCTCGTCCTCACGTACCACCCCACCAACCTCCGGATCCAACGCATCATGCTCCGACACTTCCGCCATCTGCAATCCGACCCCACCACCAAAGACATCTTTCCCTCCCCACCCTTATCTGCTTTCCGGAGGGACAACTCTCTCCGTGACTCCCTTGTCCGCTCCACACTCCCCTCCAGCTCCACCACACCCGGCACTTTTCCCTGCAACCGCAGGAAGTGCTACACCTGCCCCCATACCTCCTCCCTCACCCCCATCCCAGGCCCCAAGAAGACTTTCCACATCAAGCAGATGTTCACCTGCACATCTGCCAATGTGGTATACTGCATCCGCTGTACCCGGTGTGGCTTCCTCGACATCGGGGAAACCAAGCGGAGGCTCGGGGACCGCTTTGCAGAACACCTACGCTCAGTTCGCAACAAACAACTGCACCTCCCAGTCGCGAACCATTTCAACTCCCCCTCCCATTCCTCAGATGACGTGTCCATCCTGGGCCTCCTGCAGTGCCACAACGATGCCACCCGAAGGTTGCAGGAACAGCAACTCATATTCCGCTTGGGAACCCTGCAGCCCAATGGTATCAATGTGGATTTCACAAGTTTCAAAATCTCCCCTCCCCCCACTGCATCCCAAAACCAGTCCAGCTCGTCCCTGCCTCCCTAACCTGTTCTTCCTCCCACCTATCCCCTCCTCCCACCTCAAGCCGCACCTCCATCTCCTACCGACCAACCTCATCCCGCTCCCTTGACCTGTCCGTCCTCCCTGGACTGACCTATCCCCTTCCTAACTCCCTACCTACACTCACCTTTACTGGCTCCATCCCCGCCTCTTCGACCTGTTTGTTTCCTCTCCACCTATCCTCTCCTCTATCCCTCTTCTATCCGCCTCCCACTCTCTCCCTATTTATTTCAAAACCCCCTTCCCCTCCCCCTTTTCTGATGAAGGGTCTAGGCCTGAAACGTCAGCCTCTCTGCTCCTATGATGCTGCTTGGCCTGCTGTGTTCATCCAGCCCTGCACCTTGTTGTCTCGGATTCTCCAGCATCTGCAGTTCCTACTATCTCTGAATATATGATCTTGGATTAAAAGACTCCCTAGGGAGCAGAGATCATAATGAATGGTAGAATTTAGCATTCAGTTTGAGAGTGAGAAACTTGGGTTAGAAGCAACTAGGTTAAATTTAAACGAAGGGAAGTAACATGTGAATGAGTTGGCTGGAGTGAACTGAGAAAGGAGTTTAGCAAAAAAATGAACAATGGCAGATGTTTCATAGTTCATTATTCACAGTAAAAGAAGTTCCCACTGAGGAAGATGAATTCTTGGAAGGGGATCAGAGTTACCTAATGAAGGAAGTCAAAGAATTGTTAAGGAATTTTCAGAATTTTGTTTTTTGTTTGTTATGGTCTTAGAGTTTTCACAGCTGGAGAGAGATATTTGGAACCATCATGTTCAGCTGGTCATCAAACATGCATCTATTGTAATCCCATATTCCAGCACTTTGCCTGTAGACTTGTATGCTGCGCCCTTTGAAATGTTCATGTAAAGAAACAGCATTAATTAACTGGATAATAGAAATATACAGTACAACCATGACAATTGAGGAAGGTTCATTGATATCAGAGGATGTACAGACAGTAGGCCTGGAGTGTGTCGATCTCATTGAAGCTATGTAGGCAGCATCTTGCTCTCCAGCTGACATTTTAAGGAACTCTTCCTTCATTCACTTCAGGTCCATTTTCATTTTGAAGAAGATAGCTGCCTGATGAGGACTGCCTTTTGACCCTGAACACTCTTTGATATGTTCTATTTCTGCTAACTGGGAGTTTACACTGTCAATTATTATTCTAGCCGATGGACCTTGGCCAGCTACTTATCACGTCAAGATAACCATACATCTTAATGATTATTTTCTTTCTGTGTAGGAACAAAGCCTTTTAATTTCCTAATCACTGCATTGATTATAGGGAAAAAATAACGCTATATATTTTGTTGACATCAACTTGTGCAATATAATCACTTCGGTGGTCTTTATTGCCACCTTCCTTTTGTTTCTGCTTATTTGAAATTATTCATGTTTGAGGGAAGGAGATAACTGCTATAACAACAATTACATGACCTCTCATTGTACACAAGAAGCACTTGAAGCGAAAAAGTATCAGCTTTAAAGGCACCCCAATTACTAACATAACCTTGCCCCTCTTTCCAATCCATGGCCCTCATGCTACAATGCTAACCTGTGTCCCTCTAGCCAATCAATGGCCCCTCATACATACCTCCATACTAGCTGATGACCCCTCACATTGTCTGTATCAGCTGAAGCCCCTCTAACCACTCCCATGGACCGTCATGCCCTCCATGGTAGCTTATGTGTCTCTACTCACCCCACTTCCCTTTAAACCATTCATGTCAGTCTATGCCTCTAAGTATCCCAATAGCCCTGATAATCCTGGAGTTAAATATTCTTTTGAATGTCACAGACATTTTAAAAATAAATATTCATTCATAAAACCAATCCAGTACATGTAAATTCCTTCAACTACTAAATTCCTGATGAAGCAAGCATTTCATTCAACACCTATTCCTTTATAAAAACAAGCATTTGTATTCATATTCCCACATCATAAACTTTAATGCCACTTGGAGCTTTAAGTCAAACTGTGAACCAAGAGGTACTCCAGTATGATTATTAGAGGTTGTGGAGCCAGTCATGCAGCAAAATTCTATGATAGCTTTCAGACCTGGGTATGCAGAGAGGGAAATTGTCAGCATTGTTTTTTTTTAAAGCAAGCACTTTAAATTTTAAAGGAAAGGAATTTAAATACCCCAAAAGTTTGTGTTTCACAGAGCTCATCCACTTTTTAAAAACAAAAATATGTGTCTACTTTTACCTTCACTAAGATATACCTCGTCTTTCCCAAAGGGCAGTTTATTTCTCCCAAAGAAGTATCTGGCACCTATTCAAAAGGGTACCTGCATCTACTTCAAATGCATTCTTCACGCCTTGGGTGAAAACGGTGGTGCTGGGTTCTGGGGCACTGCCCCCACCAATCTGCCTCCAACACACAAAAGCTGATTGTTTTCTTTTCTTCTCCATTTTCCACAATTATCCTTTGGTTTCTTCAAAGTGAAAAAGTTGATCTTGTGCTATGTACCATGTTACATCTGGTCACACCAAACAAATTTCAGAAAGCTGCCTTTTAATTTTTTAAGTATGCAGTTTGTTTTCAATCATTTTGATAATGAGCTCCAATATTTTTCTCAGATAACTTGCAAGTTGGAGTACTGTACATGCTTGAGGTTCACGAGTGCAGGGATGGTGGAGATTACTTACTGAAGAGGCTGGTCGGGTATACACGTGAACTGGGTAAGTAATGTTTGGGAACGTAGGATTGGGACATCATAGCTATTACAGAAACTTTGCTGAGGGATGTACAGCTCTGGCAGCTTGATGTTACGGGTTTCAGATAGTATAAGAAGGATAGAAAGAGAGGCAGAAAAGGAGGGGGAATGGCATTTTTGATTAAGGAAAACATCACTGCTGTAACTAGAGAAGATATTCCAGAAAAATCGTCCAGTGCAAATATATGGGTTGAAATTAGAAATGAAAAGAAGAATGATCTCCTTGATGGGATTGTACTATTGGACCCCTTGTTTGTCAGAGGGAAATTGAGGAACAAAGGTTGTAATGGGAAGCGTTTTTAATTTTCCGAACATTACCATAGTGTTAAAGGTTTGGATGGTGTAGAATTTGTTAAATGTGTTCAGGAAAACTTTCTTTATCAATATGTCATTGTGTTCTTGTTAGAGTGAAAGTTAAGGCTGGTAGGATGAGAGAACAATGGACAACTAAAGATATTGAGTTCCAGTCAAGAATAAAAAATATCATCGATATAGACACTGGGTTCAGATGAATCTCTTGAACAGTATGAAGAGTGTAGGGGCATTCTTAAGAACGAGATCAGGAGGGCACAGAGGGGGTGAGAGATATTGATAATACAAAGAGATTGTACAAAGTTCTTTAAGCAAAAGAGCAACTATAGAGAAAGTAGGGCCCCTTAAAGATAAGAGGTTGTATTTGTGTTGAACCTCAGGAGATTGGAGAGATATTAAATAAATATTTTGTCGGTTTTTCTTACTGTGGAGAATGAAATGGAGGTTAGATAACTCGGGGAGATACATATAGATGTTTTGAAAACAGTTCACACTAAAAAAGAGAAAATGTTGGAGGTCCCCAAAGAGTAGTTCTGCAATAGAACACAATATAAACCACGAAATACTGGACATTTGTAATAAAAGTGCAGCAATAATCATAGGTGATTTTAATATGCATATAGACTGGATTATCAAATTGGCAAGGGTAGCCTCAAGGAAGAGTTCATTGTATTACAGATTGTTTCTTGGAGCATTATATTGTGGAACCAACCAGGAACGTGCTGTTCTGGATTTGATGTTGTGTAATAAGGTCAATTAATTAGTAATAGAAAGGCAACATATTATCTAAAAGGAGAGAAACTTTAACATTTTTTGGTGCAGAGGGATCTTCGTATCCTCAAGCGTGAATCAGAGAAAACAATATGCAGGTGCAGCAAGAAATAACGAAAGCAAATGGATTTTTTGCACTTATTGCTAAAGGTATAGAGAATGGAAGCAGGGAAGTGTTGCTGCAACTGTACAAGTCATTAGTGAGATTGCACCTTTTTAATCCAATCACGGGATGAGGACATTGCTGGCGAGGCATTTATTGCCCATCCCTAATTGCCCAGAGGGCAGTTAAGAGTCAACCACAGTGCTGTGTGTCTGGAATCACAGGTAGACCTGACCTGATAAGGATGGCAGATTCCTTTCCTAAAAGACATTAGTTAGCCAGATAGGTGTTTCTGACAATCAGCAATGGAGTCATGGCCATCATTAGATTCTTAATTCCAATTTTAAAAAAATTATTGAATTCAAATTCCACCATCTGCTATGGTGGGATTCAAACCCAGGTCCCCAGAACATTATCTGGGTCTCTGGATTAACAATCTGGCGATAATACCACTAGGCCACCACCTACCTGTAATATTGTGTACCGTTATCATCCTCTTCCAAGAACTCCGCTAATATTCTGGGGACCTGGTTTCAAATCCCACCAAAGCAGATGGTGGAATTTAAATTCAATAAAGAATCTGGAATTAAGGAACTAATGATGACAATGAAACCAATCAGGTTCGGTAATGTCCTTTAGGGAAGGAAATCTGCCATCCTTACCTGGTCTGGCCTACATGTGACTCTGGATCCACAGCAATGTGGTTAACTCGTAACTACCCTCTGGACAATTAGGGATGGATAATAAAAGCTGGACAAACGAGAGAAGTCCACATCCTGTGAATGAATAAAAGAAAACTAGTATTGTGTTGAAGGGTTATGGAGGAAGCGAAGAAGAAAATGAAGTTGAGGCTGAGATGAGATGAGATGAGTCCTGATAGCGGAGCAAGCTGAGCAGTTGAATTGCCTGCTCCTGCTCCTAAATCATATTTTCTATGTCTCTGCTTCAAACAATAACCTGAAGGTACTGATTTAAAATAGTTGGCAAGAAAATATAGGGGAAACATTTTACATTTATTTTACATCTCATTTTACCGTACAAGGTGTTATTATCAGAAAAGCAATGTCTGGTTTTCAGTGGCTTCTGATTCGAAGATTAACTTTCAAAAGGAAGTTTGATAAAGAAATATAACATTTGCAGCATTATGGGGAAGCAACAAGGCAGTGGGGCTAATTCAACTCATTTCATGGCTCCTGAGAGAGCACCTTTCAAACCGGTGACCTCCACCACTTAAAAAGACCAGGTCAGTGCATGAATGGAAACTCTACCACCTGCAAGTTCACCTTCAAGCCACATACCATTTTGACGTGCAACTATTTCACCAATCTTTCAGTGTCGTTGGGTCAAAATCTGAAAACTTTCTCCCTGTCAACATGATGGATGTCCCTACACCCCATGACTGTAGCAGTTCATGAAAGAAGCTCACCATCATCTTGACCAGGAAAATTGGGGTGGGCAGTAAGTACTGACCAAGTGATGCCCACATTCTATGAATGAATTTAAAAAAAGGGAAGAATTTTCAGAGAGCTGCTGTAGCCGCAGTGGATCAAAAGAATTGTGCTCTATCATTCTGTGTTTCCAAGTTTATAGAACCCAGACCGGTTTCCATTTTACGCAGCGGGGAAAGAAAGACCAAAAAGACTAAAAGACGTAGGAGCAAAAGTAGGCTATTCAGCCCATCGAGTCTCTTCCACCATTTGATGAGATCATGGCTGATTTGATCATCCTCAACTCCATTTTCCTGCCTTTTCCACATAACCCTTGATTATCTTACTGACTAAAACTCTGTCTCAGCTTGAAATACTTAACCATCCAGCCCCAACAGCCTTTTGCCTTAAAGAATTCCACAGATTTCCTACCCTCAGAGGAAAAAAAATCCTTCTCATCTTTGTCTTAAATGTGTGATCCCTTATTCTGAGATTATTCCCTGTGGTCCTAGACTCTCCCATGAGGGGAAAGAACCTTTCCACAAGTATCCTAAGAATTTTGTATGGCTTAATATCTCTCGGTCTTCTAAATTCCAGTGAATGTAGGCCTAGTCGACTGAATCTGTCCTCATAAGACAGTCTCTCCATTCTGGGATCAGTCGAATGACTGGACTGCCTCCATTGCCAGTCTATCTTTCCTTTTATAAGGGGCCCAAAACTTCACAATACAGTCTTCCAGCTGATGGCTGACAAAATTACAAAGAGATCTTGATCAATTGGGTCAATGGGCTGAGGAGTGGCAGATGGAGTTTAATTTGGATAAATGCGAGGTGTTACATTTTGGCAATACAAACAAGGGCAGAACTTTTACAATTAATACAATTAATGGTAGAGCCCTAGGTAGTGTTATAGAACAGAGAGACCTATTCTTTGAAATTTGCATCACAGGTTCACAGGTTGACAGGGTGGTTAAGAAGGCATTTAGTACGCTTGTCTTCATTGCTCAGACCTTTGAGTATAGGAGTTGTGACATCATATTCAGGGTGTACAAGACATTAGTGAGGCCTCTTCTGGTACGCTGTCTGCAGTTCTGGTTGCCCTATTTTAGGAAGGATATTATTAAAGTAGAGAGGGTTCAGAAAAGATTTACCAGGATCTTGCCAGGAATGGAGGGTTTGAGTTATATAAATAGGCTGGTAGGCTGCGGCCATTTTAACTGGAGCATAGGAAGTCGAGAGGTGTCCTTATAGAGGTTTATAAAATCATGAGGGAGGTGGATCAGGTGAATAACAGCAGCCCTTTCCCTAAGGTGGGGAATTCCAAGACTATGGGACATATTTTTAAGGTAGGAGGAGAAAGATTTTAAAAAGGACAGGCAGGGCAACTTTTTTCCAAAGACAGTGGTTAGTGTGTTGAATGAACTGCCCGAGGAAGTGGTGGATACAGGTAAAGTTACAACTTTTGGATAACTGCATGTGTTGCGAAATTGCCAAGTACTTAAGAATTGGAAGGTAGGAAGCTGGAATTTGTTGGTAAAAATGTGAGTAGGGAAAAGCTGTGCCATCATCCCTCTGAAGGATTGGTGCTTTGTCTGTGTGCAGAGATTTTTAAATCTCTGTGAGTAACCAGAGGGTGCAATTACAGGAACACTGGATTGATTCCAGCCTTGGGTGGCTCTGTGTGGAGTTTGCACATCCTCCTCATGTTTGTGTGAGTTTCCTCCAGGTGCTGCACTTTCCTCCCACAGTCCAAAGATGTGCAGGTTAGGTGGATTGGCCATGTTAAATTGTCTGTAGTGTCCAGGGATGTGCAGGCTAGGTGGATTAGCCATGGTAAATGCAGGGGTAGGGGAAAAGGGTGTGGGCCAGGTTTGGCTGAATAATTTTCAGAGGAGTCAGCGCAGACTCGGTGGGCTGGATGGCCTCTTTCTGCACTATATGGATCCTATTACTCGGATGCTAGCTTTCTGTGATTCCTGGTTGAGGACTACCAAATCCTTCTGTTCTGTGGTTTTCTGTAGTCTTTCTCCATCTAATGAATGTTGAACTTCTCTATTCTTCTTGCAAAAATATATAACCTCACATTTTCCCCACGCTATATTCCATCTGCCAAGTTTTTGCTCACTCACCTAAACTGTCTGCAGAACCCGTGTCATCTTTACCACTTGCCACCCCATCTATACTTGTGTAATCCTAAAATGTGATTATTATACATTCACTCACTTCCCTCATTCAAGTGATTAATGTAAATTGTAAATAATTGTGGCCCCAGCAATGATCTTTGTAGCACTCCACTAGTTGCATGTTGCCATCCTAACAATGGCCCTCCTAATTCCAATTCTCTGTTTTCTATTAGTCATCTAAACCCCAATCCATGTTGATATACTAACTCCAACACCATGGGCTCTTATAGAGTTGTAGAGTTATACAGCATTGAAACTGACCTTTTGGCCCAATTTGTGCATGCCAACCAGATATCTTAAATTAATCTAGTTCCATTTACCAGCATTTGGCCCATATCTTTCTAAACCTTTCCTATTCATTCACCCATCCAGGTGCCTTTCAAATGTGTAATTGTACCAGCCTCCACCACCATCTCTGGCAGCTCATTCCATGCACGCATCACCTCTGTGAAAAATTTCCCTTTAGGTCGCTTTTAAATATTTCCCTTCGCACCTTAAACCTGTGCCCTCTAGTTTTGGACTCCCTCCCCGGGAAATAGACTTAGCTATTCACCCTATCCATGTCCCTCGTGATTTTATAAACCTCTATAAGATCACCCCTCAACCTTCAATGCTCCAGGGAAAATAGCTCTAGCCTATTTAGCTTCTCTGTATAATTCAAACCCCCTAGTCCCAGCAACATCCTTGTGAATCTTTTCTGTACCCTTTCAAGTCCAACAACATTGTCCCTATAGGAGGGAGACCAGAATTGAACGCAGCGTTCCAAAAGAGGCCTAACCAATGTTCTGTCCAGCTGCCACATAACATCCCAAGTCTTATTCACTGACCAATAAAATTCAGTTTACCAAACACCACCTTCACTACCCTGTCGACTGTGCCTCCACCTTCAAGGAGCTATGAACCTGCACCCCAACATCTCTTTGTTCAGCAACACTTCCCAGAACACTGAAGTGTGTAAGTCTTGCCCTGATTTCTCACATTATCTTATTAAGTAGTCTAATATGAATTAACTTATCTGAAAATCCAAATATATTACATCCATTGCTTTCCCTTTTTCCATCCTGCATGTTACCTCCTCAAAGGATTCTAATAAATTTGTCAGAGATGATTTCCCCTTCATGAAGCCGTGCTGACTCTGCTTGATCATATTATGTATTTCCAAATGCTTTGCTATTACATCCTCTATAATTGATGCTAACATTTTCCCAATAACAGATGTTAAGCTAACTGGCCTATCGTTACCTCTTTATCCCTTTTTAAATAAAGGTGTTATATGACAGTTTTCTAGAGTTCTAGGACTTTTCCAAAGTCTAAGGATACTTCGCACTGCCAGTGCATCCACTATCTCTAGCTACTTCATTTAATATCTGAGAATACATGTCATTTTATATCACCATTCACAACATCCACATGTTCCATAATACTTCACAGTCAATTCAAGTACTTTCAAAGTGTAGTCACTATAGCAAGTTAGAGAAAACAGAAGCTTGTTTTTACACAGCAAGGTCCTAAAAACAGCAATGTGACATTGAGAATTCACTGGTGGTAAGGTGGTGAGTAGCATTGGCTTCGACATGGAAATAGTTGGGCGCTTGCTTTCTTGGCTCCCGAGGTTTGAGGCCCATGAGACACAGAGAGATGAAATATAATAGACACAAATAACTCTATGAAACAAACTTTAAACAGAATCTTTACTCTGAAATGATGGCACATTTTTTTGAAACTACTCTGGAAAAGTCCTGGCACTGCAGTTTTCTGATGGTTTGCTATAAGCTGAAGGTTTTTAGTTTAGAAAAATATCATGTATCGGCGCAGACTTGGTGGGCTGAAGGGTTCTTGTGCTGTACTGTTCTTTAATTTTTGTTTTAATATGCTGTAAGGTCTTGTCAGCTAAATTGAATTGAAGTTCTGACACAGTCTCTGGTCTCTGGTTACATTCCACAGCCCCAGCTGAAGCTCCGAATCTGGATATTGAGGAAACCACTAGTGATTCAGTACTGATCAAATGGAGTGACATCCCTGTGGACAAACAGCGAGGATTCATTCAGGGCTTCAAGGTTTATTACAGCAAACTATACAATGAATCAGCAGCTTTCAAGCCTGTGGGTGGTCAAAAGCTGAACACAGGTAAAAATGCCAGAGTTGCATTTTTTAAAATTGGCTTCTGCTGGACGAAGCTTCCATATAGATGCACAGTGATTCATTCAACTTTTTAGTTCCTGGAAGTGTCAAGTGATCAAACAGGCTGCAGGAACAGGCCATTCAGCCTTGTGAAGTTCTGTTATTCATTTAGATCACGCCAGCCAGCAAAATCTGTCAATCTAGCCTTTAAAGATTTTAAAGCATGTTTTGGGATGCTGTCCTCAGAATTTGACCCTTTAAACTGTGGCATGAAGAGCTTAAGAAATAGAATCTGGGTAGAGTCCTAACATTAACATTAGTTTAAAGCAATCAGTCGAGTTTTTAATGTGACTCCATTACATTTTCTAGAAGTGACGAATATTCATACTCTGGGTCCTATTCAAAACAAAAGGAATATGTTCAAGCCCCTTGTGAGTTTTTTTGAAGTATCTAGGAGCTTTGCAAGCCTATTTTCCCTGTTGATTTCTCCATTGGCAGTGCCTCTGCCAGTCGGAGTCAACTGGTAACCAGTCAACATTCTTGTCTCAGAGTATACATCATAGAAACCCTGCAGTGTGGAATGAGGCTGTTCAGCCCATCAAGTCTGCCGTGACCCTCTGAAGATCATCCCACCCAAATACAGCACCCTACCCTATCCTTGTAACCTGCATTTACTGTGGCTAATTCATTTAGCATACACATCGCTGGACATTATGAGGCAATTTAGTATAACTAAAGTTATTTTTGCTTTGTACATCTGGTCGGAATGTAAATCCAGGCAATGTGTTGCACAGAATCTCAGGCAAGTCAATCCTATTTGTTGTTATATGACTTGCCTGTTGTTTTGTTTTGAATTTTGTTTACCTGGAGGCTTGGAAAGGCTGTGCTTAGCACTGCTACTACAGCTGAGATTAGCTGTGAGTTTTGTCCTGATGGTCTGGCCTGTGTGGTTCACTGCTCATCTACAGCAGTGTCTAATATTTTAGCTGTTGGGAAAATGCAAAGGCGACAAATGACCTCTAGTTGAAGTGGAGAAGGTTACATTTAGATTTGATGGATTTGATTTGCTCAAAGTTGTGAAGGTTTCGATAAAATTGATCAGAGGGAAACTTCCCTGGAGCAGAAAAGTTCATAACCAGAGGACACAAACTGATGACAGAAAACTGGGGCAGTGGAAGGGGAAGTGAGTTCTTTTTGTTTTACACAATGCATTATTGTAATCTTGAATGCATTGCGTAAAAGGCCAATAGAAGCATATTCAGTCATAACCTGCAGAAGGCCATTGGATAAATTTTCAGTAGAAACTTCCCCAGCTCTTAAGAAAAGAACAGGAAAATGGAACTAATTGGATAGCTCATTCAAAGAGCTAGTATAAACACAGTGGGCTGAATGGCCTGTATTATCCTGTCTGCACCATTACATCAGAATGTTTCTGATTTTCTACTTCCTTAATTGCCATAGATAATTTACTGCCAAAGATCATAAACGATTCTACCGCACGGACATTCAAGATCGGGGGCCTTGAGGCTGGGACGGCATACCTTGTGGCAGTGCGTGCCTACACCAGAGGAGGGGATAGTCCCAGGAGCGATGTCACAGTGACTACACCAAACAGCCGTAAGTCTATCCATGAAGAATTCTCCTCCAATGTCACACAGTGCATCATATTACAAAATCTGGCAGATGTAGTGTGATTTGTGCTCATTTTTTTGAGCTGTCAGTGTTTGTGAAATATTATTTTTGAGACTCGAGGATTTAAATAGTCCCACACTGGCGTAATAATTGGCTCCAGCCAATGCGTTTAGTTAACTACCAGAATGACCATAGTCACTGGAGGGAGAAATGCAGTTTCATAGTTCTGTACCATTGATACATGCACTGACTGTTAATTGCTTAGTTTTGTCTTCATCCTGATGATATAATGTAGGCACTGTGTAAAGTAACATGCAAAATACTCCTTTAATTGAAGATTTATGATTTATATTAATGATTTAGATGAGGGAACTAAATGTAATATCAATAGTTTTGCAGATGACACAAAATTGAGTGGGAGGGTAAACTGAGGGGAATGCAGAGATACTTCAGTGTGATTTAGATAAACTGAGTGAGTAGGCGAATACTTGGCCGATGAAGTATAATGTGAATAAATGTGATGTTATTCACTTGGAGAGCCAAAACAGGAAGGCAGATTATCTGAATGGCTATAAATAGGAAGTGGGGAATAGGCAACAAGCCCTGGGAGCCCTCGTACACCAGTTGCTGAACTTAATGATGCGGGTGCAGACTTGGTCAAGGCAAATGGTATGTTGGCTTTCATTGTGGCAGGATTCGAGTACAGGAGCAGGGATGTCTTGCTGCACCTATACAGGGCCATGGTGAGAGCACACCTGGAGCATTGTGTGCTGTTATGGTCTCCTTATCTGAGGAAGGATGCTCTTGCTGTAGAGGGAGGAAGCAAATGGTTACCAGACTGATTCCTGGGATAATGGTACTGAGGTCTGAGGAGAGGTTAAATTGTTTAGGATCATATTTGTCGAAGTTCAGAAGAATGATAGGGAATCTCATAGAAACCTATAAAAATCTAACCGGATAATTCAGGGAGGATTTTCCCATTGGCAGGGGCGTCCAGAACCAGGGGCCACAGTCTAAGGATACAGAATATACCATTTAGGACTGTGATGAGAAATTTCTTCACCCAAAGAGTGATAAGCCTGTGGAATTTGCTACCACAGACTAGTCGAGGCCAATACGTTGCATGATTTCAAAGAGTTGGGTATAACTCTTGGGACTAAGAGACTAAAGGGATCAAAGGATATGGAGGAGAAGCGGGAACAGGCTGTTGAGTTAGATGATCAGCCATGCTTTGGTTTGTTGATCCTAGCATATTCTTCTGTCAGGGGATGTTGGGCAAAGTGAGTATGAAGGAGAGTGGTGTTGTGGGAGTTTCAGGTTAAATTATACACCATCCTGAAAGCCCTTCTGTACGTTATACATTGTGAACTTCACCTCCCTCATTCTGTCTGTTGATGTCACCTTAGGTCACTGTTTCCCAAATCCCCACCCTCTGTCATGAGTAATATATCTGTTGAGTTTTGAATGTTTGTTTTTCTCCCCCTATTAGCTCTTGCTGTGATTCTTGGGATTACCCTGCCGCTTGTGGGAATTATAACACTGGGAGTCATCCTCAGTATCTTCTTTTACCGAAAACAAGAATGGTAAGTTCCCTTTTGATGATCAGCCTCTTTTTAATTTTGACCAGTCTTCTTGACACCCTGTAACAAAATCTAAGATCTGCTGATTGACCTTCCATTCTGCTTCCATTCTTTTCCAGGAAATTCCCTGGAATTCCACTCCTCCCTCAATTTTTACTGCTTGATGGCTCCTCCCCACTACCTGATTTACTGTGCATGTCCTTGTCCCTGGGCATTCTGGCAGAGGTGTCCTTCACTGGACTTGTACTGGGCTAGTATTGATGTCCTGGCTGAGCATCCAAGGTCTGTCACGGAGTTGGAGCAAAACAGTGAAGATATTTAAACCACTGCAGGCATTGGATCTGAGACTGGGAGTGGGGAATATAACCCACGTCTACAGTAGGGGTGTGATTATCTGCATTCTATAGTGCATTGATTATAGGAGTTGGGCTGATACGTTGCAGTTGTACAGGACATCGGTTATGCCACTTTTGGAATATGGTGTTCAATTCTGGTCTCCTTTTTATGGTAAGGATGTTGTGAAGCTTGAAAGGTTCAGATAAGATTTACGATGATGTTGCCAAGGTTGGAGGGTTTGCGCTGTAGGAAGACACTGAATAGGCTGGGGCTATTTTCCTTGGACTGTCGGAGGTTGAGGGGCACCCTTATAGAGGTTTATAAAATCATGAGGGGCATGAATAGGGTGAATAGCCAAGTCTTTTTCCCTGGGATGGGGGGTTCCAAAACTAGATGGCATAGGTTTAAGTTGAGAGGGGCAAGATTTAAAAGGGACTTTAAGGAGCAACCCTTTAATGCAGAGGGTGATACATGTTTGGAATGAGCTGCCAGAGAAAGTGGTGGAGGCTGGTACAATTATGACATTTAAAAGGCATCTGGATGTTTATATTTAAAAGAAGGGTTTAGAGAGATATGGGCTAAATGCTGGCAAATGGGAGTAGATTAATTTAGGATCTCTAGTTGGCATGGATGAGTTGGACTGAAGGGTCTGTTTCTGTGCTGTACAGTTCTATGACTCTGTAGATGGAGGTGGTGGTTTTGTGGTAATGTCATTGGACTAGAAATCCGAGATGCAGATTAAGGTTCTGGGGACATTGGTTTGAATTGTGTTGCAGGTGAGTTCTGAATCAGTAAAAATAAATCTGGAATTAAAGCTATCCTGCTGGTGACCCTGTAATCATTGTTGGTGGTTATAAATCCTATTCTTATTTAGTTTGGCTGTAGAGCCACAGAAATGTGGCTGATAAATAATTGCCCTTAGATGTGGCCTAGAGAGCTGGTTAATTCAAGGGAAACTTTTGGGTTGGACAACAAATACTAGCCTTGACGGCAACATCCACTTCCTGTACAAGAATGAAAAAAATCCCTACTCCAACGTCTTGACCTGGCTGGGATCAGTGAGCTCTGGGGAGCGATGGCAGTCAAAACTCTGAGCTATTGACTGTTTCCTTATGCCCATCTTTTTCAGGATCAAAGAGACATTTTATCCTGATATTCCTGATCCAAACAACAGCAAAGTTCTTCAGGATGGAACCTTTCTTCAGGTATGTTCGAACTAAACCCTGGGGGAAGGCAATTTTGTGTGTACCTATGTGTGAATGTAAGAATGTATAAGTCCTTTAAATATGTACAGATATGTTGTGGTGTCTGCATGCATGTGCATAACGCTATGTATGTGGGAACATGCAGGATGTTTATTCAGCCTCAAACTGCAGTAATGTTTTATGACAGAGCTAGCCATGAACTATAGATAGAGAAACTGCAAGAGCAGGTTGGAGGCTGGGAATTCTGCAGAGAGTAACTCCCCTCCTTGTGCACCATATACAAAAGACATGAACTGCAGTAGTTCTCATAAGACTTCTTGCCAGCACGTTCCCAAGGGCAAGTAAATATCATAGAAGATCATAGAATCCCTACAGTGTAGATAGAGGCCATTCAACCCACCAAGTCTGCACCAATTCTCCAAAGAGCATCCCATCCTATTCCTGTAATCCCACATGTACAATGGTTAACTCTCCTAACCTGCCCACTGAGGTGGATTTGCTATGCTAAATTGTCCCAAACCTGCACATCTTTGGACTGTGGGAGGAAACCAGAGCACCTGACAGAAGCCCCACTCAGACACAGGTAGAATGGCAAACCCCATACAGACAGTCACCCAAGGCTAGAATTGAACCTGGGTAACTGGAGCTGTGAGGCAGCACTGCTAACCACTGTGCCACCCTGTGGGGATGGGAAATCAGTGCAAGCCCAGCTGGTGAGGGTTACATTTGTGAACGAAATAGAAAAGAAAAAGGCAGGAGTGTGATGGAATACTCCCCATTTGCCTGGATGAGTATACCTCCAACAACACTCAAGAAGCTTGACACCATGCAGAACAAAGCGGCTCACTTTATAGGCATCCCATCCATCACCTTAACCAATAAATTACTTCACCACTTAATGCACAGTAGCAGTAGCGTATGCCATCTACAAGAAATACTGCAGTAACTCATTGGCAGCACCCTCCAAACCCACAATCTGTACCAGTTGGAAGAACAATGGCAGCAGGCTAATGACAGTGTCTCCATCTGCAAGTTCTCTTCCAAATCTCTCTCCATCTGATTTGGAAATACAATTGATCAAAATCCTGGAACACCACAATGCCATTCAGGACCATAGATCATAGAATCCCTATAGTGTGGAAACAGGCCCTTCAACCCAATAAGTCTGCACCGCCCCTCAGAGCATCCCACCCAGACCCATCCCTTGTAACCCACCTAAACTACACATCCCTGAACACTACGGGCAAGGATTGGGAATAAGTGCTGGCCTAGCCAGTGATGCTTACATAGTAAGAACAAATAAAAATTCATTAAGTTTTCTCAGAAAGCATTTCAAATATTTAAGCTTAAAAGCACAACTTTTTTTTGATAAATTATTCAATTTTTTTTCAAACAGTTCTGCTTTTCTAAATTTTAAAACTATTTTAAATCAATTTTAACATCTTAAAACAGCATTAATTTGAAGAACTCTGGATGAATTATGTAAGTTAATTTATAGTTTGCTTCTATCATGTAGACATCCAAAGTTATTAAATTTTTTTTATTTTTCATTAATGGGATGAGGGTATTGCTGGCTAAGCAGCATTTATTGCCTAGAGGGCAGTTCAGAGTCAACCACATTGCTGTGGATCTGGAGTCACATGTAGGCCAGACCAGGTAAGGATGGCAGCTTCCTTCCCTAAAGGACATTTGTGAACAGATGGGTTTTCCCAACAATCGACAATGGATTCATGGTCATTATTAGATTCTTAATTCCACATTAAAGATGTATGAGAGCTTCATAAAAACCTGTGCAGACTATGTAAGAAGTAGTGTAGGCAGAGGTGTGTCTGCATACGTGTGTGTGTCTGTGTGTGTGCCTGCCTGCCTGCAAGTGTCTTTGTTGAGAAGGTGGAATCAGCAATTGTCAGATATATTTCTCAATTTTATACCATCTGCCGACCCAGTCTCCAGCCGTTTTGTGGGTGTCAGGAGCCTGGATCACCCTTTCTAAGGTATAATCTGAACTTGGTCTTACCCCAGGCTTATTGATGGGGACCTATCCCCAAGGCTGTGATTCTGTCCTCAAATCCTACGGTGGGCCTGGCTGAACAAATGCAGGAAGCTCACGAGTGCTGAGTGTGGTGTGTCGTGTGCCCGTTGCTCAATTTCTGTGCAATGTGTTTGGGGATCCTAAGCTCTGACCTGTGGCAGACTATTTGGACATGGGAAAATAGGCTCTTTCCCAGGAGAGATTGCCTCTGTCTCTGTTCTATATCAAGGCAGAGCGTCTCCCATCTGTAGGAGTTGCAATGGAGCTAGATTTGGAGACATTCATGGGGGAGGATTTTACCAATTTAGATACCCACTGACCAGGGTATAAACATCTGGAACTATAGAAAAAACATCACTTTTTAAAAATTTTTGCTTTTTATTTTAGGGTGTCAACTCGTGCAAAACTCTGGAACCAAAGGATTGTACACCCAATGAGGTGCAGGTTGTCGAAGAGAAGCAGATTGGATTTGAGATTGAGAAGGAGGTTGAAGTGGATGATGAGACTGAGGTAGTTCCTGAGGATATTTCTGATGCCGAGAACCAGAGTCAAGGTGTCTTATCGTATGGTCCGCACAGTGCACCTGCTGAGACTTCAGGAAAAATTAACCCAGCATTTGACGCAATGGCCTCTCCATCCATCTATCCCAGTGAAGTAATGTATACAAGTATACGAGGTCCTGTCTACCAACAACAAGAGGCACCAGGGACCGGTCCCGGGAACGACGAGATGGAAGTGATTGTCAAGTCGGGCTATCAACCTCAGATCCATGGAGTCATCGCTCCCACACCAGTCAGGGAGCAGTCTGAGGTGCAGGAACTAATGCCTCGAGTTAATGGCTATCAACCACAGGCCCACCGCCAGTCCTGGAGCCTAGATTCTGTAGAGTTTCCACCACCTGAGACTGATTCCATTGGCAGCCCAACTTCCATCAACTCCCAAGCATTCCTGATTCCAGAGAGGATGCTGGGAGAGGATCACAGCTTAAGACCTGGTGTCAAAATGTGGTCCCTGCCCTTTTTCCAGAATTCCAGAATGTCTTTTGACTCCAACGACAGCTGATGAGAGACACTGGACAAGGGAAGGTTTGGATACAGGAGGACCTGGGTCCAAACCTTTGCCATCAGTTTGTGTCTCATTTTTTGCTCGTTGTGAATCCCCTGCTCCTCCCCCGGGAAACTAACACTACAAAGACTTGGAATGTGGCAGCCTGCTCGATGTGGACTGGCAATAGCAAGCAGCTTGTTTATTATGTTCACCTCTTCTCATAGTTCAGAGACTGAAACCAGATGAAAGGATCAAATTGCAGAAAGCTACCGAAGAGGCGAGAGTTTGTAGCGGCAGTAAACCTGACTGAGCCATAGTTGACGCATCCCTGAGGAGAATGGAGTCTGATTGCTGTTCCCTGCCACTGTATGTGCTAGAACTAGCTCAAGGAGCTGAATGGCCTATTTCTTGCTCCTCTGTGGAAATATTATTTCACGCTGTAGTTAGACAATTTATTAGCTGAAGAGAATCGAGGCACAACCACCACTGACGACAACGCTATTATATTTTAATAAAATATGATCGGACTGAATTGATGCAGATGTCAAAAATGGTTCTAACTGTGGAATCCTGGCTTGTATCATAAAAGACTCTTTTCCAAGGCACCTGATAAGCTCTGATTTTGCCTCTTGCAGAGGATTAACGAGATTGGATGGATTCTGTCTGAAACAAGGCTAATGGAGAAAGTTGTCCTATTTATTCTGAATTTCAGACATGCATGCTGATGGAAAAACTCTGATTATGGCAATACAAGCCTCTGTCTCTACTCTGGCCACCTCGGTGGATCTACTTTGATTACCCTGGCTTCGTTTCAAATTGACTTGGTGGGTTGACAAACTTGAAGTGATGATAAGAATTGGGCTACTACCTGTGGCTCACTACCTCACAGCTTTTGATTCCAGACAGCCAAAGCCTTCCTCACGTAACTGAAGCTCTCACTTAGCAGTGCCCCTTCATTGGCAGCTGAATGACTTGTCCTGAAGAAGAGTCATAATGGACTTGAAACATTAAATTTGGCTTCTTCCTCCACAGATGCTGCCAGACCTGCTGAGTTTGTCTAGCAGAGATAGTAGGAACTGCAGATGCTGGAAAATCTGAGATAACAAGGTGTAGAGCTGGATGAACACAGCAGGCCAAGCAGCATCATAGGAGCAGGAAGGCTGACGTTTTGGGCCTAGACCCTTCATCAGAAATCTAGCACTTTGTTTTTATTTCCAATTTCCAGTATCCACAGTATTTCGCTTTTATCTGTCCTTCCCAACCCCCGAAAAAAATACAACAAATCTGCTCCATACTCTTCCCCAGGCAGCTGAACCTTGCTTTTCACAAAAACTCAATCTACTGCACATAAATGGTTTAAATAAAGCCCATCAACAAGCAAGGGGAGTAGATGCACATTTGGCCAGGGAGGAACAGAGCCCTGTCTGTGTAAAAATTCTGTTTTGCAATGGTTTGTATCATGTTCTGCATTAACTGAGTGCTACCAGCTTTAAAACACTACATCTGGTTGACTGCGTTTGGGTATCAGAAGATATGATTACTTTAATTCTGCCTGTGACATGCTTTATCAAAACCAAATGCTTCACATACAATGAATTGCTTTGAAGTGTTGTGACTGTTAATGCGGTTCAGTGTAGCACGAGCATTGTTTGTGTGGCTCTGTTTAAATGTACTTGTGAGAATGACACTCCACCAGGCACAGGCCAGGGGCTGAATTGTTTGGTCTGTGTTTACAGTCTGACATCTTGAAACTCTAGAGCATGTTGTATGAAAGTGGTCATTTGGCTTTTCTGTCTCTAAGGAGCAAACCTCTGCCTTTATTGCAGTGCTTTTGTTGAGGGTTGAAAGGAGTGCTTGATGGGGCAAAGCAATTGGTAAAATCTCAGTTGCTGTTTGTGTGACATCAGCCAGTGAAGAGGTGTGTGTCGTCTTGCTCTGGAAGTCGTGACATTCTAGTAACACTGTGCAGGAAGTCACTGCGAATAACGTACCAGGAACTCATTCTGCATTCCACTGTTAGAAAGCAGTGGTTACAGAGTTTGTTACTCCAATGATCAAAACACAAAGTCTCTGCTCTGCTCATCCAGTGAGATTGGAACTTTACTCTAAGAAATGTATTTGATTGTCAGCTTTTTTAATTCAACTAACCTTGTTTTATTTTGGCATTCATCCATACTGGAATTCAGAAATGAAGAGCAAGCTGCAATATATTTACCTTTTTCTTCACCTGAACAGGGAGAGGAAGAATGCATTTCTGCACATCTTATCAAAGCAGCCTGCAGCTGGATTCAGTAACTTGACATGAACGTGGCCCCCTTCGTTTCTCGGTGTGCTGGATTTGAAGAGAGTTAATAACCCAATGGTTCAGCATAAAGATTGAGTTGAGCACAGTTTCCATTTGCAAGCAGGGAGAATGACAATTGGGCAGTGATGCAAAATCATTATTTCTGTTGTTTCATATATGCTGGTTGGAGTTCTGTTGCACTAATATTTCATCAGCAAAAAGTGATACCGACTATGAAAGGAAAAGTACACACCACACATTACTGGTCTCTGACAGGAAACATGCCAACGTTTCCATCACATATATACACACCCGCACGCACATACATATCTACCTAGGTGCACAGGCAGACGTGTGCAAGCTTATCTGTGTATATATTCATCCTCACAGATGTACACATCCATCTCAGAATGGAGAGAATGACTGAGCCATTAAAAATATAAATACTCAAATTTGTAACTCTAATTCTTGTGATGTGCAATGTCCTCGAAGTATCGAAATTGTAAGCCTGTTTGCGGACAGGAATGTTTTATTTTGCTCTTATAATGCCTGATAACCAGTTTATTGTATAGGAATGCTTGTATCACTGATGATACTTATTAATCTACAGTTTTTTTTTCTCGGAATGTGTGGTCTAACTGCTGTTGTAGTTGTGTCATTGAAATTTTAAAACTCAGTGGAATGTAATTTCAGAAGCTATGGACATAAGACTAATCCTGAACCCTGTGTATATAAGTTGTGGTGGAATATCTCCACGAACACTCGGGATTGCTGTCATCAAACTGTCCTTTTGGATTCCATATTGTACACCCGTACAGCGACCCGCCATACAGCATAAATCCAGCCTTCCTGCAGTTCCATATCGTCAGGTTATAGTACTATCTTTAAGACTGTGTACAGGACTTGTGTTCTCTCTGCTCCCCCTCTCCCGCTCACATCATAGCTGTCCAGCTGGTGACGGATTAAAAGAGAGTTTAGCTAAGAATAGGGATTTCTCAGTCTTTTGTTTTCCCAGGTCTTTTCCCTGATCATCTCCCACCTCCCCCTTTCTGACTGCAAGAACATCTATGCTCTGCAGTCCTGCCAATTACAATCTCTAAGAGAGCCAACACACAGTTCCTGTTCTCCATTTTGCATTCAGAGATTTATTCAAGGGAACCTGTACACAAAAGGAGAAAGGAATAAAAGGGGTGGGAGGAGGCTGGTGTAGAGCGTAAATCCTGGCATGGGCCCATTAGGCCGGATGTGTGTAAACTCTGGTCATACCCACCAGAAGTGAGGCTGAATTTAGGGACTCATCTGCAGCCAATTAGGAAGAAACTGGGACCAAAGTTGTGGTTAGGTTCACAGTCTGTCCATGTTCTCAAACTTTGCTGTCAGTTTTGCTGTGTTGTTGGTGAGTCACACGATGGCAATGAATATTGTGATCCTGTGTAATGCATAACTTGGCAACTGGCCTGACTGTCTCAGATGACAGTAAGTAATCCTGCAGCCAGTCATTTTTTTTCTGTTTGATTAGGGAGTTTTGAAGGTTGAAAGTACTTCCAAGTTTCTTACTGCATTCTGTGGGAGAATCCCATAAATTGAAAAAAATCTCTACTTCTCTCTGCTTTAAACTCTTTGTGTGATGAATGCTGCCCATCCTTTTAGTGAGATAGTACAGATGAATAGATAAGTAACTTAATTGATTTATTGAAGAAAATCATGGCAGCCTGTGCTGAATTGTGATGATACTACAAATAGTACAAGTCGTGAAAATTCATCACAAAATATAAAGTGATTAAAAAGATTACACAATTATGAACATCACCGTATTACAATAGGTTTCAAAATGCAGGTCTCCTTACTGATTTAATTATTAAAAGATGTGCAAAATGTGGAGTAAATTTGGAAATCCTGTTAAAAAGACAGGATCGTTAATCTAAACATAATACTCAAGATTTTCAGCATTTCCAATACTAAACATGTTTGAAAGAGAAAAATGATAATTAGACAAATGCAGGAGGATGGCATCAGGGGTATATGGGAAATGGCTGGGAATGCTGTTAGCATATTCAAACCTTTTCATTATTTGCTGTAGGCATGTCGATTGTTCCAAACAGCCATACTCATGAATGTGAACAAGTCCCTCCTAATAGACTGAGAGCCTAATGTTGATGTGCCACATGATGCAAGATTGTATGGAGTGTATGTACATAAAAATACGAAGGCTGTGATCTTTTGTTATTTCCATCATCTTTTGCATGTTTTGAGTTTGTGTATCTGCATTGAGAGGTGATCTGGTGGAAACGATCCTACCACCGCGCTGGAAGCTCTGTGTTTGAGGCTCATGCTCGGAATTGTTGGCCATGGAAAGTGCATTTGTGGCCAAACCAATTCATTGTCATCCTGCAAATCCTTACAATACACCTGAGGGCAGGAGATAAGAGTGGGAGAGTTTTATGGTCAATCATTTTGCAGAATGCAGTGGCAAACAACTGCAGCACTTCACTCAAAAGCATGGACCAATCCCATGGAAGTCCATGGCCCATCTTTTGGGAATGATGGGAGAAAAGACAGAGCTGCTTGAAATTATGCAGACACAGCCTGACCCCTTGCGTGAAAGCAAAGCATGGGGTCAGCGTGACACCTAGACTGCATTCCACCTGCCCTGGGTGTACTCAGTGATTGAGCAAAATTCCATGTGAATGCAGCGGTTTAGCCACCTTTGAAAATCTTAGCTTCAGTAAGAGGAATAACTTTCTCACCACTCTGGTTCTGCAGCTACAGCCTTAGTCCTAGATCATTTCTCCAATATTGCACTTGGTGGCTATTTTTGACTTATTGGTCCTGATACTAAAATAGCAGCAAGCCATTTGACCATGTGCACTAATGGTACTCTGAATTGCATTGTATTCTACTTGGGCTGAAAATCAGGAAATTTCAGCATTTACTGAAGCATATTTCTTAGAAGAAATTCTAATTGCTGTCATTTTAGCCATATCTATTAAAATATATATATGTTCAACAGTATTTCCCTTGTCTGCATTGACTCTCTTGGAAATTTTAAGAACATATTGTTAGAAAAATTGTTATTCTAGTGCTGCTGTTCATTATTCCTTTATAATGTAAATGTATACATTTACAAGTACAGACTGAGATTTTTTTAAATTTATTCATTCATGATTCGTGGCCATTGCTGGTTGGGCCAGGATTTATTGCCTGTCCATAGTTGCCTTTAAGGTATTTGTGAGTTGCGTTTTCGAACCACTGCATGCCATGTGCTGTAGATAAACTCACAATGCTCTTAGGAAGGGAATTCAGGATTTTTACCCAGTAACACATAAGGAATGGTGATATATTTCCAAATTAAGATGGTGAGTGGTTTGGACAGGGTGGTATTCCCACACATCTGCTGCCCTTGTCTATCTAGATAGAAGTGGTTTTGGGTTTGGAAAGCGCTAAGGATCTTTGCTGAATTTCTGCAGTGCATCCTGCAGGTAAGACACTGCTGGTAGATGAGGAAGTAGATGCTTGTAAATGTGGTGACATTATTTCAATATGAAAACAAGGAGAAATAGTACACATCACAAGGTAGCTTATTGAATAATACAAGTTGTGTTTTAACCAAAGAAGCAACCCTCCTACGGCAGCAGTAGTGTCCTCTTTAACTTTTACACTAGTACTTCCAGGCCTCTCCAGAAGTATGTTGATAATGGCTAATCAGTAATCCACCACTTTGGAAAGCTGGTAGAGGCTGTATGCAGACAGACATTTGAAAGATGCAGAGCAGCAAGAGTGCATGATCAACTTTTGCTGGGTGGCTTCATTTCCTTAGATACTACACTGAAGTGCACTTTCAGTCTTATTTGTTGGAAGTTGAGCTTAGCAGAGGACAGCCTTTTGTAAATTGACTATTGTAGTGTGCCTAACACATCAGCGTGCCATTCCCAACTTTGCTGTCAGCAAAAGTTGGACTCTTTTTCAAATAACTTGTAACATGCATGGAGAATGGAATTAAGTTCCAAAGTGGTTGGGCAAATTTAATTTTCCAGTTTGGTAAGAAGGATGGAAAGGAAAACATCATTTTAAAGCTCTCTTGGTGTTTGGAAGGACTTAGGGACTATTTAACTTTGTGATTTAATATGCAGTTAAAAGCCAGCACTTTCAAGAGTCTTGGCTTTCATTGCAAGGGGGTTGCTATATAAAGAGGTCTTGCTGCAAACTATTGTTTTCTCCTTATCCCCACCCTAACTTCTGCACATAAACCGACATTTTCGTAGCTACCACCCGTTCTGAGGAAGAGTCACTCGACCTGAAACGTTAACTCTGATTTCTCTCCCCAGATGCTTTCAGACCTGAGCTTTTTCAGTAATTTCTGTTTTTGTTTCTGATTTACAGCAGCTGCAGTTATTATCACAGGCTGTTACCTTGGCTGCAGAACATATAACTAAAGAGTTGTGGTTTTAAAGTAAAGGGCTCAGATTAAAAATGTCTTTGGTGCAGGTTGCGAATCTTTGGAAGTCTAGAACTTCATTTGTTGAGATTATCTAGGTCAAAACTTACGAACTTTTGGGGACTAAAGGGTGTGGGAAGTGTGCTTGATGTAGAAGTTCAGTAATGTCCCTATGGTTCGGTTGAGGAAGCTGTAAGGCTAGGTCCTTATGCTTTCAATGGAATTCAACATGTAGTTAATTTCAATCATTTATCTAGTGCTTGACTGAAGTTAGTTGCCCTCTTCCAGTCTGAAATATAACCAGTGATGGTTCCCAAGAGTTTGTGCAAAGACCACTGTTTTCGTAATAAAATCAAAGTCTCTGAAAATAGTGAGACAATAGGGATTGACTGCATCAGGACTTTGGCTAGTCAGTGTTCAGTAAAGACACTCACAGCATTTCAAAAAATCCTCATAATCGATATGTGGTCAAAGGGAGAGGAAGCATATAATAACTATCACAAGAGAAAACATGCCAGGGAAGCTGATGAGGCTAAAGACAGATTAAGCCCCTACTGGTGATGAGATGGATTGCAGGATTTTAAAAGGTAAGTAGCTGCAGAGGTAGTGCATGTATTGGTAGCAATATCCTGGTCTTGGATTCGGGGGAAAAGTCCCAGACATTGTCAGTTTTTAAATTGGATACCTGTTTTTTTTAATCTCCCCTTTTTAAACAAAGTTATCTATAGGCCAATTATTCTATGATAACATTATTGGGAAAATGGTAGTCTTATAGAGCACAGCATTTAGAAAGGCACAATATAATTAAGCATAGTCAGCAAGGCTTCATGAAAGGGAAACCATGCCTGAAATTAACTACAATGTTTTGAGGATGCAACAAGAGGGATAGATTAAGTGGAAACAGCGCATGTAATATTTTTGGGTTTTCAGGTGGTGTTTGATAATGTACCACATGTTAGACTACTTAAGAGTCCATGATGTTGTGCTAAAATATTAGCATGGAGTGGAGGTTGGTTAACTAATAGAAGAATATGCAAACCAGGAACAAGAGTAGGCTGCTCTGCCAGTCAATAAAATAGCTGATCTGATTTTAACCTCAGCTCTACAGTCCTGTATGTTCCCAATAATTTTTCATTCCCTGGGTAATCAAAAATCTATCTGTTCTATCAACAACTACTGAAGGTGAATATTATCTACACACAGAGGAACTGCAGACAGCTACAGTACAGGACTGGGGACTCCTTGTGCGTAAATTACTAAAGGCTAACATCTAAGTTCAGTGGGTAATATTGACTGTCAGCCTTTATTTCAAAGGAACTGGCACATTAAAATAGGGAGAAAACAAGGTGGAGCTGGAAAAGCACAGCAGGTCGGACAGCATCCGAGGAGCAAGAAAGTCGATGTTTCATGTCGGCACCTTTTCTTCAGGACTGGGGAAGGGGGGTAGGGTAGGTGAGATGATGATAGGTGGATGCAGGTAAAGGATTATTGTTGGTCAGTAGAAAGGATGGAGCAGATGGATGAGTGAGAAGATGGACAGGTTGGGGTGGAGAGATCTTGAAGCCTGGTGAAGTTTATATTCAGGCTAATGGGCTGTAAACTCCCAAAATGAAAAATGGGGTGGTGTTCATCCACTTAACTCTGACAGTGGAGGAGGCCAAGGATGGATATGTTGCTAGGGGAGTGAGAGGGGCAGTTGAAAGTTGATGGCAACTGGAAGGTCAGGCTGGTTGGTGCGTGCGGAGTGGCTGCGCTCTGCAAATTGGTCCCCGTGTCTGTGTTTGGTCTCCCCAATTTAGAGGTGATGACATCAGGAGCAATGGCTACAGTAGGTGAGGTTAGATGAAGTGCAGGTGAATCTGCTGGATTTGGAAGGATCGTTTAGGGCCTTGGATGGAGGTGAGAGAGGTGGTGTAGGGGCAGATATTGCACCTCCTGTGGTTGCAGAGAAATGTACCAGGTCTGTTGGAGAGGTTGGTGGGGAGTTTAGAGTTCTTGAGTCACAGAGTGGTCCCTGCAGAACACAGACAGGGATGGGGAGGGAAATATCTTAATGGTGGTGGGGTCTGACTGGATTTGGTGGAAATGTCAGATGATGTTATGTTGTATTTGGAGGTTGGTGGGGTGGTCTGAGGACTAAGTGGCCTTTATCATTGTTGTTGAGGAGAAGAGGGTTTCAGGGCAGAAGCGCAGGAATGGTGGGGGGGAAGGAAGATGCAGTTGAGGGAATCCTTAATAATAGAGGACAGGTAACTACAGTCCCTGAAGTAGGAGGATATCTGGGAAGTCCTAGTGTAGAATGCCTCATCTTGGGAGCAGATGTGGCAGGAGGGGAGGAATTGAGTATGGCATAGCATTTTTACAGGAGGATGGGTGAGATGAGGTATAGTCCAGGTTTGAAATGTATGTCAGTGGTGAATCTGTTGCCAGAGGTCCAGGAAGGGGAGGGAGCTGTCAGAAATGGTCTAGGTGAATTTTTGGCATGGTGGAAGGTGTTGGCAAAGTTGATTAACTGCTAGAGCTCCTCAGGGGAGCATGAGGCAGCACCAATACAATCATCAATATAATGGAGAAAGAAGTGAAGTTTGGTGCCTATGTAGTTGTTGAAGAGGAACTGTTCCACCAATCCTACAAAGAGGCAAGTATGCCTTGGGGCCCATAGCCACCCCTTTAGTTTGTAGGAAGTGGGAGGAATCAAAGGAAAAGTTGTTGCAGGTGAAGACCAGTTTCCCTTCTCTCTATAAAAATAGGAAAATCTTGCTCAAACTTTATAGGGTAGTAGTTAGATCACACCTGGAATATTGAGAATAGCTTTGTTACCTAATTGAAGGGCAGATATCAGCACTGGAGACAGTGCAAACAAGATTCACTAGGCTGTACTCGGTGTTTAGAATAATGAGCAACCTTGTTGAAACATACTAGTTTTGGGGGGATCTTAATGTAATGTGGAAAGGTTGTTTTCTCTTGTGGGAGAGCCTGTGTTATAATCTTAGCATGTAGGTGCTCATTTAAGACATTGAGGAATTTCTTCTCTTTGAGGGTAGTGAATCTGAAGACTACTTTATTGTAGAGGTTGGGTCATTACTGGTTAGTATATTCAAGGGTGTGATTGCTTTTTTTTTTAAAGGAATCAGGGGTTATTGGTAAGAGACAGGATAGGTAGAACTAAAATTATGAAATCAGCTATCATCTCACTGAATGGCACAACAGCCTTGAAAGGACTGAATGGCTGACTTCTGTTTGCACATCTTATGGTCAATGATTACTGACATAAATAGGCACTGGAAGGAAGTAAACTCACAGAAATAGAATAGGACTGACTGGATTGCTCTGGAGAGATTGGGCAACTACATGTGCTAAATGGCTGTTTCTGATAACTAACATGGTGTGCATTTCCAGTACTTTTTCAAGTACCTGGTACTATGATAAATGCATAAGTATGAATTGTATGTGGAGGAGAATGACAGTGCATCACAATCAAGTCTGGATACGTTTGCTTTTATTGTTAATTAACAATGCATCCCTTTGATAAATTTTATGTTCAGAAGGGTAAATGCCCAAAACAAGACTGTACACACTATACAAAGAAACCACAAGGTGGCAACACAAAAACATTACTCTTGACAGGTGCTCTTCTCTGCTTTACGTTATTTAAATTATACACAGCTCCATGAAATATTCTTTTATGGAAAATATATAAATAATTTCTTCTCATTTTTAATCAAGACTATGTTACAGGTATATAATATAAATCAGGTTTCATGTTCAGTGACCTATGAACACTAGAACATCCCAATAATGTAGCAGCTTATCACAGAAATAAAATCAAACACATCCACAATGATGGCTGCAATGTCCATATTCTATGCTCTCTCCCTCTCACAGGTGTCAGTCTTCTCTCCCTTCTTAAACAGATATGTAAAATAGCAAAACATTGATAGCTCGATCAAGAAATCTCTCGCAACCAAAGGCCATCGATTCGCTTCAACCTCCTCATTCTTCAAACTCTTATGAGGTGGTTTTTGGGCACGTACGTGGAAGAGATCAAAGTTAAACATAATAACCAATTGACCACAAGACAGACAAACCACAAGAGCCACCAAGACTGAGCAGGAAAGACAGCTACGTACACAGACCACGGGAATGACGACACAGGGTTCTTGAGACATCTGCATAATCCTGACAATCAGCATTTACCAATCAACTTCGGAATACATGGGGGTCCAAAATAACACATGGTCATGAAATAGTTAATTATTGACCTATAAGAACTCTGAAAATCAGTTATTCAGGATATGGTCACTGTTGCTGACTCATTTAACTGATCAATATGAAGTTAGTGTTCTTACCAGTGCAATGTGGGGGCAGGGGAGATATAGAGAAAAAAACAGATACTGCAGTGTGATTGGTGGGTAAGAATTGGTCAGGCAATTGTGATTCACACATGGTGTTAGAGGCAGAGGCATAGTTGGAATAACCAGTTGGAAGACAGAATACTTGTGAGGTGCTGAGGCCACAGCAAAGCCATCCTTTGTGTTTATAATATTGCATACGTCATATTCCTTTCTCCTTAGTTGTCAGTTCCTGGAGAGATGGATGTGTATTGTAATAGCACCTTATTCTGGACCCATCCCTATATTTTCACCTTCCACTTTACTAGAATTCAACAATTGCTCTGGAAATGAAAACATTCACCTGTTTCCTGTCCAGCCACTAAGGACTGAATGTAGGGAATCTATTGCATTCACCAGCAGTCAGCGATTCTAACCGCAATCCAGAATTTATATCTAATCCTCAATCCTGGGTCATACAATGCCTCTCATCAAGTCTGAATAAATGATCCAAGACAAAGAACTACAGTTATGATGGCGAGCACAGGCAACACTGCTCCAGCCACTAAGCGGTTCTCTGACAGGTATCTAAAAGCAGACACTCCCATTCTCTCCATAAGCCATAGGAAGCAACATTCATTGAAGTAGTACAGGATAGGATGAGGGGAAACCAGTCACTAGCCATTTCCTTCCTGTCTCAGACATCTCATCATTGGTGTTTATGGTTACATGTACAAAAACATCCTTGAACATTTCGTATCTTAGTGTAACTCGCGACCAGTGAAAGGGTGAGAAATTGTGTGCATATGCGTGTCACGTCAAAGTCAGAATGATGAGACAAAACTATTTGGTTGAGACCCTCCCTCCTGAAGCCAGGAGACCATTGCTGTTTGAGATTAACAACAAACAAGTTCAATGGAAAGCCCAGTGCTTCATCGTGTTCTTCTCATACCATCACACCTGACATTTTGCAGTAAAAGCAGGGCTCACAGGGCCCTGTACTGTAGTGTTAGAATTTTCATTGCTACTTGTTAACACCAACTCCACACAAAGCACCTTAAAACTCAAGATATACACTTAGCTCATGGAATTTCAAGGGCTTCTGCTCATACAAAGCAACTCAGATGAGTGCTGAAAGACCAAAGTTTGCAGTCTGGTACGGTAAATGGAGGGTGGACCCCACTGTATGAAAGCCTACTCTCACATGGTTTTTAAGGACCCTTAGACAAATGACAATCAGACTTTACCTCTCCTGAAATGGTGTTTCTGAAAGTTCTGGTGCAATCTTTCTTAGGGGCGGTATGCAATGGAAACTTTATGCCATTTCAGCCAACATGTTAAGATGACAGGATTTAGCCCTTAATGATCCATATCAATTGGGTCCGATAAGGAGCATTGCCCACATACCCATGTCCAGATAGGCAGGTTCCTATATACCCTGAGACCCAGAAGCAGATGGGAGAATTTTGCATTTACTTTGGTGTCCAGGAGCAACGGAGAGCAGCCTAGGATCTAGGAGTTCCCATACAGAACTGCTGTTTCCTACTCTCTAATGGACCAGTGGATATGGAGAATTGTTCCTGGGTGCATTAAACTGCATTTCCAATACACCCACAATACAAAGGCAGCCCTGTAATTAGTTGCTGCAAGCGTGATTTACCGTTAAAAGGCAAATCTGCTTGCGTGCGGGACCCCACAGCACCATACCATGGAACATTTTTTCTGCCATGAGTTAAGGTTTTCCAGGACTGCATGTCAACGGCACAGGGGTCTGATTCCAATCCGCCTGAACTCATACAGTCAATGCAATTTAAGTAGATTATAAAGTGGTCTTTCTTACAAGCTGACTACATTTAAACATATAAAATTGACACCCCTGTCTACTGAGTGCAGGGGTGGTAGGTGGGATTGAGCTCATCTGGCCCAATGACTGAAAGAAACTAAGGCAATGCTGGTGGATGGAGACTTGCGATAGTTAGAGATGAGCATGTGCATCTGTGCCAACAGCCATGGAACAGGGAGAGATCCAACCACTCAGGTCTCACTTACTGTCTCCCAGTCTGCATCACTCCTCCTGTAGTGTTAAGGATACCTTCACATCCAAGACAGAGGGAAGGGAAATAAATAAGAACATGCAAGGGACAGGATTTGAGTGCTGATTCGACACTCCTGCCCTGCCCTGCTGGTCACAGCGACAGTCAGATGTTGGTACTGTTGAATTCTGGGTGAAGTAGTTTGTAGGTTTGGTGATGTGGCAATACGTCAGCACAAATTTGGTCAGGATGCTGGGGTTGGCTCAGCTTCAAGCTGCTTCGGTGATAGAGTAGTGTCCGCTTCCTCATACAGCTGTCAAGAGAATAAACATGGTCAGAGCATGGAGTCACTCCTGCAACAGAGATAGAGAGAGAGAGACAGAGAGAGAGAGAGACAGACAGACAGAGAGAGAGACAGAGAGAGAGACAGCGAGAGAGAGAGAGACGGCGAGAGAGAGAGAAAGAGAGCGAGAGCGAGAGAAAGAGAGAGAGATTGATTCCATGCACTGGACAGGATGAGTCTCTAGAGAAAGTTCCTCAGAAACAAAGACAGTCAATGACAGAGGTAAGAAAAATTTGCACTTTAAAAGAGACAAAAAACCTCTAGATATAGACAAAGATTGTTCCTGGAGGCTCTGGTGAAAGTGTCCTCCCAGATTCAGTTTGTAGGGAACCGAGACCAACCAATGATTCTAACAAAGGTGGCCAGAGATCCCATGTGCTTGCTCCTTCCCCCACCCAACCACCCTTCTCATAGATCAATGATATATCTCCCTTAAGAAGCTCCTTATGTATAAAGCCCTCCCTACCCTTACTAAGGAGAAATATGATGTGTCAAGAGGGGGAGCTCTCTGATTAACAATTATTGCAGTCAGAAACTTACGGGTTGGAACTGAACATCCTGGAAGAGTTCTTGGATAAACCTGCGGGAAGGCAGACGGAAGGTGCAGTTTGCCAGTAAGTGGGAAACCTCAGAGTATAGACAAATGTCATCGAAAGCATGAGGAAACTTTTCCTTTATCCTGGGGAGGGAGAGTAAAACAGGAGTCTGAGACAAGCAGAGAAATAAATCTCAGAAATACCTTTGAAACAGCAGCCAGTCATCCACAACAGCTGTGGAAGCCAAGGAACACCACTGGGGTGGGATTCGCAATCCACAGACCATGGTATTCATCCTGTTCCCCTCATAAAATCACAGAATCCCTGCAGTGTGGAACCAGTTTCTGTAAGCAGTCCTGCATCAGTGGTAAAAATGCAACTGCTGGAACAATTTCAAACAGAGAATGATAACCGATGCTTGTTATGTGTTGCTGAAATGAGGGGTGGTTGGAATTCTTGTAAGCTCTCCTGGAGGACTGAATAGGTAGGATGGTTTTGCTCTTGGTGATCGGTAAGGGTCTATTTATCACTGACTCCCAGAGCACTGGAGACACAAGTCAGAGTGGCCCTCCTTCAAAGAACAGTCTGGCGTCTCTGACAATGCCAAGCTCTGCTTATAGCTCCAGCCTGCAGGCACCAGAACAATGTAGCAGCTGGCCATATTGGGATTTAAGTTCTCAACCACTACACCAGCCACAATGATTGAACAAATTTCAGAATGGATACAAGCACAGAGGAATTCATTTGGTACGTCATGTCTAGCCTGGTCTGGCTCTCTAAAACAGCTATTCATCGAGTGGCACCAATGACAGCCCCCCGCTCCTTTTCTCCTGGTAACTCTGCACATTCTTCCTTTACAATTCCATCTTGAAAGCCTCAATTGAACCTGCATCCACCAGACTGTCAGGCAGTACATTCATAATCTTAACCACTTACTGTGTGGAAAATCTTTCATGTCACCATTGAAGATAATTAGCAGAAGAAATTATCTGTCTCTCTCTGGTTCTTGATTCTTTCACTAACGGGAACAATTTCTCTCTTTGTCCAAATCCATGATTTTGAACATCTTGATCTAATCCCCACTAAACCTCCTTTCTTCCAAGGATAATAGTCCCAAGTTCTACTATCGTTCTATTTTATCGAAATCCTCAACCCTGGAAACATTTCTATACCCTCTCTAATACTTTCATATTTGTCCCAAGGTGTAGTGCGGTAGCACCCTATTAATAAAGGATACTGCTGGTATTATTAACCATTCTTTCAACCAATGTTCCCTCTAAGCTAGCTGCTTGGAGATCTCTGCAGCAGCAGAAAATTTAGAAGGAATGTAGCTCTCAACCTGACCTGTCACTTTCAAAGACTGATGCAGACCTACCTACAGCCAAGTTCTTCACTGTCCCCCTATAACATTTATGTTATATTGTTTAAAATATAAAATAGATTAATTACAGCTCAAACAGTGGGTATGATCTTATAGCAATTACAGAGAAATGGTTACAAATAGATCACAGCTCAGAACTAAATAATTAGGGGTATATGACTGTACAAGACATGATTAGTAAGTTTGTGGACAATACAAAATTTGCAGGCATTGTTGATAGCGAGGAAGATTATCAAAAATTAGAGGGATCTTGATCAGGTGGGGAAGTGGGCTGAGGATTGGCAAATGCAATTCAATACAGATAAATGTGAGGTGTTACATTTTGGAAAATCAAACCTAGGTAGGACTTGTACAGTAAAGGCTAAGGTCCTGACCAGTGTTGTGGAACAGAGGGACCTAGGAGTACATAGTTTGTTGAAAGTGGCGTCACAGGTGGACAGGGTGGAGAAGAAGGCATTTAGCATGCTGGCTTTCATTGATTGAGGCACTGAGTCTAGGAGTTGGGATGTTATGTTACAGTTGTATCAGTCGTTGGTGAGGCCGCACTTGGAGTATTGTGTACAGTTTTGGTCATCCCATTATAGGACGGACATAGTTAAACTGGAAGGTTTGCAAAGATGATTTTTGAGGATGTTGCCAGGACTAGCAGGCCTGAGTTACAGGGAGAGGTTGGCCAGGATAGGACTTTATTCCTTGGAACATAGGAGAATGAGGGATGACCTTATTGAGGTGTATAAAATCATGAGGGGCATAGATAGGATGAATGCATATAGTCTTTTTCCCAGGGATGAGGAATTGAAAACTAGAGGGCATAGGTTTAAGGTGAGAGGGGTAAGATTTAAGAAGGACCTGAAGGGCAACTTCTTCATGCAGAGAGTGGTGTGTATATGGAATGGGCTGCCAGAAAAAGTGGTTGAGGCAGGTACAATAGCAACATGTAAAATGCATTTGAATAGATACATGGATGGGAAGGATTTAGAGGGATAAGGACCAAATGCAGGCAATTGGAACTAGCTCAGTGGGCACCATGGTCAGCATGGACCAGTTTGGGCTGGAGGGCCTGTTTCCATGTTGTATTACTCCACAACTCCGTGAAAGAAAGGGTGCTGGGTACCTTCATTAGTACAGGATGAAATAAACCCATTAGCAAAACATGATCTTGAATCGGAAAATGCAGAATCCATACGGGTGAATGTAGGAAATAAAAAGGAGAGGACAATACTGTTTGAGAGTAGTCTAGAGCCTTCTAACAGTAGCTACATGGTGGGATAGAGAATGAGGATATAATGAGAGCATTTAAAAAATTCATAACATTAGCCATAGGTGACTTTAATCTTCATGCATAATGGGAAAATCAATTTGGCAGAGGAAGAGGAAGAATTCATATAGTGCATTCATGACAGTTTCCTGGAAGAATATTGTTGTGGATCCACCCAAGGATCAGGCTTCACTGGATCAGATAACGAGTAATTAAAGTTTAATGAATGATCTTTCAGTAAAAGATCTGTAAGGAACAGTGATCATAACATCGTAGAATTTAGCATTCAAACTGATATTAGTGAATAACATGGATCAGAAATAGCTGTGCTAAAATTAAATAAGGGTAGGTATACGGGGATAGGAAAGGAGTTTAGCAGAACAGGTGTTTGATGAACACAGGCAGAATGTTTAAGGAAACAGTTCATTACTCACAGCAAATATGAAGGAGAATTCTAAGCAGGGGATACACTGACTACGGTTAAGGTTAGCATCAAATTTGAAGAAAAAACATATAATATGGCAATGATTAGTGGTAAGCCAGAGGATTGCATTTCATAACAGCTTCCTTAAATGTTTAAAAGGCAGAGCCCAAAGTGAACATAGGTGACTTAGAGGAAGAGGTTTAGAAATAATAAAAGGATGCCAGGAAATGGCAGAGGTGTTGAAAAAACACTTTTGCATCATTCTTCATGGTGGAGGGCATTAATAGCATTTCAAAAAGACTAAATAAACTAAGGAGGTTAAAGACCACTAACTCCCCTGGACATGATGTGCTGCATCCTCAGATATTAAAGGAAGTAGCTACACGGATAGCGGATGCACTGGTTGTAATCTTCTGGGAATCTTGGGATTCAGGAAAAAGTCCCAGGTAACTGGAAAACTACCAATGGAACACTGTTCTTTAAAAGGGAATGAGATAAAACACAGGTAACTATAGGCCAGTTGGCTTAACATCCGTTAGTGTGGAAGTGTTAGTCTGTTTTAAAGAAAGCCTATTGGACCATAGGGCTGCTCTGTCATTACAGACAGACATTTGGTGGTGTTTTAACCTGAAGGTCACCGTGCCTCAGGCAAGGGGAGATTTTCAAAATATTCCTTCTTGGTAAACTCAGCCCGTGCGGGAATTGATCCCACGATCTTGGCATCACTCTGCATCACAAACCAGCTACCTTGCTAAGTGAACTAACTGAACTCCTTCACGTAACAGCACAGCATTTAGAAAATATCACACAATCAAGTAGAGTCACTACCATGATTGACAGGGCCGTTACCGGTGTTCAACCCATCTCTTGCTTTTCTGCCCTCATTCCACAACATCGATAGCGTCCCTCTGGTGCTCACATACCAGCCTACCAGCCCACCAGCCTCTACATCCAAAGAATTATTAACAACTATTTCTGCCACCTCCAGCAGGATACCAAAACTATACTCATAATCCCCTCCCTTCCCTTGACTGCATTCTGCAGGGACTATTCCCTCTGGGACACCTTAGGCCCAACACCACCTCACGTCCTCAGTGCACCTTCCCATGCAATCACTGAAAGTTTAACACCCGCCTATTTACTTCCTCCCTCCTGACTATCCACAGCCTCAAACATATCTTCTGGTGAAGGACTGATTTACTTGCACTTCACTCAATCTAGTCTATTGCATTCTCTTATCATAACGTAGGTTCATCCACAATGGGGAGATGGAACACAAGCTGGGTGAGCGCTTTGCAGAACGCCTACGTTCTGTCCATAAAAACGATCCCGAGCTTCCAGCTGCTTGCCACTTTAACACCCCACCGTGCTCCCCTGCCAACATCTCTGTCACAGGCCTGCTGCAGTCCTCCAGCAAAGCTCAGCGCATGCTTGAAGAACAGCATCTCATTTTCCATTTAGGGACCCTGCAGTGTCTAGGACTGAATGCTGAGTTTCATAACTTGAGAGCCTGATTCCATCCTTCCATGTTTTTTATCCACCCTACACCTGATTCTGTTACAATATGGATTCCTTTAGCACAGTCACCCATTCCCAGGTGCTCCCAGGCCCATTATCACATTATATGGGCTGCATTCAGCACAGCTAATCCATTTTCAAACGCTTAGCTGTTATTATCAACTCATTCAGCCGTCCTGCTATCCATAATCTACGTTTGCCTACCCCTTTCACATATCTCTCGCTGGGCACCATCTCCACCTATTCACTCACTTATCCCACTTCAGCTTCAGAATAAATACTATTTTTCCCAAGCTACTAAAAGTTCTGATGAAAAGTCACTGGACTCAAAATGTTAACTCTGATTTCTTCCCACAGATCCTGCCAGGACTGCTGAATTTCTCCAGCAAATTCTGTTTTTGTGCAGAGGACAAAGGCACTCAGGGCATTTGAGATCGGCTATAAATGTGTGCCCAGTCAGAAATGCCCATTTCCCATAAACAAATGAAAAGAAACTACTTTTAGTGGTAGTGTCTTCACTTGTCTGGGCTCCAGAGCTATGAAATTCTCTCCTCCCATCTCTGTACCTTGCTTTAGTTCTTACTGCCTCCTTAAAATCAACTTCTTTGGTCAACATTTTGGTCCTCTGATATAGAGTCTCCTTATATGGCTCAGCATCACACTTAAAATGCTCCTCTGATGTACTTTCGGTCCTTGGATCCCAGCTATTCACAATATATTAGCAATGAGCTGGATGAAGGAACTAAATGTAATATCTTCACATATGCAAATGACACAAAGCTGGGTGGGAGGGTGGGCAGGCTGTGAGGAAGATACAAAGACGTTTCAGTGTGATTTGGATAAGCTGAGTGAGTGAGCAAATGATTGGCAGAAGCAGTATAATGTGGCTAAATGTGAATATATCCACTTCGGTAGCAAAAGCCAAAAGGTAGGTTATTACCTGAAAGGCTATAATCTGAGGGGACAACCTGCAACATGACCTGGGTATCCTTGTGCACCAGTCGCTGACAGTAAGCATGCAGGTGCAGCAGGCAGTGAAGAGGTTAATGGTCTTCATTGTCAGAGGATTTGAGGAAATGTCTTGCTGCAATTATATAGGGCCATGGTGTGACTACACCAAGAGTATTGCGTGCAATTTTGGTCTCCTTATTGGAGGAAAGATGCTCTTGCTATAAGGAGTGCAGTAAAGGCTTATCAGACTGATTCCTGGGATAGTGGGAATGACTGGAGGAGAGACCGGATTGGTTCGGATTACATTCACTAAAGTTCAGATGAATGAGAGGTGGGGGAATTCTCATTGAAACCAATAAAATTCTAACAGGACTAGATGCAGCAAGAATGTAGCCTCTGACGAAAGTCCAAAACCAGGGTCACAGTCGAAAGATACGTGAATTTTTCTTTTATTCA